TATTTCAGACAGGAGGCTGGAGGGAAATGGATTCTGGTGACTCTGTCCTGGCCCGAAGTGGAAGTCTAAGCTAGTAAATGTTGAAAGTTATTTCAAAACAGCATGCCTACCTGTAATCCCAGCACTTGGGAGTCTGAGGCAGGAGGATTGCCACAAGTTCGAGGCCAATCTGAGGCTCCATAGTGAGTTCAAGACCAGCCTGAACTACTTAGAGATAGCCTGTCTCAAAAACAAAACAAAAACAAAACAAAACAAAACAAAAAACCCTAAGAAACAAAACACAAAATAAACCCAGCATGCCCTCTGTCTGTTTGGGCCCAGACATTTCTCCTAAGCTGCCAAAAGGAGGGTGCAGGGAGGTGAAGTGGATGGTGGTGGGTGAAAGGGGTATTTCCCAGATGTCCTTCTTACTATATAGAACAGCCATGGCCTTAGGAACTTGGCCCTGGTCACAGACCCAGGAAAGGCCCGACATTCCTGCGCAGGACATCATGGGGCCTCCAGAGGGCCGTCCAGCTTCTGGGCCGAGCTGGATCCGTGGTCAGCAGTGCCCTCTATGGAGAAGTGTTAGTGTGAGGAGACTGAGTTTTCTAACCCTGCCTTCTTTTTAATTTTGGACCTGACTGGAAGGGATACTGATCCTTTGGAAGAAGATGAGAGGATGCTGTCCTAGGAAACAGGAGTGCAGGGGGCAGGTGAGATCCCAGGCTAGGAATTCTAGTTCCAGGATGATTGTTTGTGGCACCTTGGTTTGTGAACTTAATTTGTTCTGTGGTTTTGGAAAAGGTGGCCATGGTCGTGTTTGCCACTTGCTGGAAAGTTTGCAAACAAAAACAAAACTTTGCTAAATGCTTCTGTTTGTGAATCAAATTGTTTGCAAACAGAAGTGTTCATGAACCAAAGTGCTACTGTACTAACATAGAAGTTTCATAAAGCCTTTTTAAAAAATACGCAATTAATTGTGTGTGGGCCAAAATACACATCATTAAATTAACTACTATACCCATTTTAACATGTATAGTACAGGAGCATTAAGAATACTTCACACTGTTATCTGGCCATCACCGCTACCTGGGTACAGAACTTTTTCGTCCCCTCAAGTGTAAACTCAGAATGCTGCTGCTCTCCAATCCTTCCTCCAAGCTTCTGGCAAGTCTTATTCTGCTTCCTGTAAGAATTTGTCCATTCTGGACGCTTCCCAGAGCCAGAATTGCATGCAGGGGTCCTTTGTTTCTGACTTTTTTCACTTAGCGTGTTTTCTGGGTTCGCCCAGTTGTGACAGGGCCAGAGTTTCATTTTTACCGGTGTCATAGGAGCACCGCACATGTTCATCGCTACAGCCTCCACGGTACGGCACCCACCAGTCCCCGTTCTTTTTGGGGCTAAATAATACTTCACTGTATGGATATACCAAACTTTATCCATTCACTGGCTGATGAACCTTTGGATGTTTCCATTTGTGCATGTGAGTGTGCAGGTATGACACCATGAATGGAACCCACACACATGTACAAGCTAAGGGAATGCTCTAGCAACAGCTACATGCCAAGTCCTCTTCATTCTTTTTTTTATTTTTTTGTCTTTTTCCTTTTTATCGGTACCCGGGATCGAACTCACGACTGCCTGCTTGCAAGGCAGGCGCTTATGCCACTGAGCTAAATCCCTAGCCCCCATCCTCTTCATTCTTTATTTTGACACACGCCCTCACTAGGTGTCTGGGGCTGGCCCCAAACTTGCAACCCTCTTGCCTCAGACTCCCGAGTAGCTGGGATTCAGGCGTGCTCCACCCTCCCGGGCTGTATGGTAACTACCTTACAGCTAGTATGAATAACATGCCCTTCTCTTGGGTGCATGCAGCACTGCTGGCTTACCTGGTGACTGTTTAATGGATCCAGCCAAGGCCGTCTCTTTTCCTAGCAGCTGACCATTTTCCTTCCCCAGGAGCAGTGTCTGGAGGTTCGGATTGGCCCACGGTTTCTGATTCTTCGCTCCATCCTGTAACCACTTGTCCCAGTGGGCTGAGGAGACACCACACGGCGCTCTCCTGTGAGACTCTCCCCAGCAGCCTCGTGTGTCCACTGTTCACTTACCTGTCTTCCCTGGGAAAATGCCTGGCCACACCCTTTTTCTATTTTAAAATTAGGCTTATGGCTTTAATCACTGATTGGAAGCATTCTGGCAGAGATTCAATTTTCTCTCATTCTGAAGCTTTTTTTTTCATTGTGATAATGTTGTTTGTTTCTTTGTTTTGTGTTGAGATTTCACTATGCAGTTCATGCTGGCTCTGAACTCACTGCTCAGGCTGGCCTCACACTTGCGGCCATCCCCCTCCCCTCCTGCCTTGGGCTCTCAAGTGCTGGCATGATAGGTATGTGCCACTGCACTCAACAATAGTGGCTTTTGATGCCCTGAAGTTTTTAGTTTTAACAAAGCTTTCCATAGTCTGGATCTTGAATGTTCCCCAAAGGCTCATGTGTCAAAGCTTTGACCTCAGAGGTGCTATTGGAAAGTGGCAGGATCTTTCAGGGGTGGGGTCGAAGGGGAGCCCCTTGGTTCACTAGAGACATGGCTCTGATGTCCCCAGCAGCCTTGTTGTTACAGTATTAGAGATTCTTGGCGTGTGTGTGTGTGTGTGTGTGTGTGTGTGTGTGTGTGTGTGTGCCAGGAACTGAACTCAAGACCTTGTGCTTGCCAGGCATGTGTTGGGTCCCTGAGCTACACTGTCCCTAGTTTGGAGATTGAATACAGTGGTTTTTTTTTTCGGTTGTGTGTTTGTTTGTCTGTTTGTGTTATTTTAATTTTTTTTTTTTTTTTGAGGCAGTATCTTGCTAAGTCTCTAAATTGTCCGGGTTGATCTTGAGCTGGCTAACGTCCTCCTTGTGTCCTCAGACTTCCATGGTGCTGGGTTTATAGGTGTGACCCTCCACAGCAATCTCCTTTTTATTTTGAGACAGGGTCTGGCTAAATTGCTAAATTGTCCAGACTGGGCTGGAACTTGCTCTCCTGCCTCAGCTTCCTATTGTAGGTGCGCACCAACCACCCACCCTCCTGCCCACCATCACTGCTTCTCATATGGCTAGCAGTCATCAAAGGATTCCTTCTTGGAGATCTGGCTCCACAGGACTCCAGGCCTGCCCAGGGCTCTCAGGGAGAGATGAAAGCTTTGCTGATGTCAGTTTTGCAGGCAGACCCAGTGTGGCTCCTGTATCTCTGCACTTTGTCATCTCAGGGTGGGGGAGACCCTAGTTTCATAGGAAAACGATGAAATTTCCCACCTCCTGCACTCTTGTTAGATTCTCGGAGCAGCCTGTGACTGCAACCCGCAAAGAAGGAAAGAAAAGTTGGCTTCCTGTGCCTTCAACACAAGCCGCCTCCCCCCCCCCATGGTGCCTACCCCCACCAGGGGTCACTGTGAGCCAAACCAAGGGCAGGGCGGGTTGTGACAAAAAGAGGAAATGCAAGAACAAGAATTCCTTCTGGGAAAGAGACAGTTGGTGGCCCAGAGCCGGTGGTGTGCAGACCAGGCTCTTGGGAACTGACCTCTGGAGCTGATGGCGGCTGCACCACCCTCTGATGGCTTGTTTGTCGGTGGCTGGATAGAGGAACCAGAAATATAAGGGCCCCATCTTTCTCAGTAATATTGTATCCTGGGTCCTTTGAAAAAGGAACTTTCCTCCCAGAGTGGCTCCTGCTGGGCCAGCTCCTTGTGGGTGGGGACAGCCCTGAATGCTTGCGGCTCCTCCAAGCCTTCTCTTCTGTGTCCCAGGGTAACAGATCTCCAGTTCTCCTTGGCCTCTGGGTGCCTCTGGCTCTTGGGTGCCTCTGGCTCTTCTCTGGGATGAGTATGTCTTGAGTTTCCTCACTCTATGATGCTTATGGTTCTCGGCCCTTCTGCCTAGCTGGCCTCACCCAGAGGCCACAACTGCATGGCCAGCGGTACACCTGTGCTCACAGCTGGATGTTGCAAAGGCCCTTGGAGCTCGAGGTTGGAAGCTGAACTTGGGACCTAACATATGGAAAGCTTTCAAGGCAGTAATCACCCACCCTCCCACAACCACAGGCCTCCCCTTCCCCCCCAGCCTCTCCCTCTCCTTCCACTCTCCCTGGGACCCCCACCTCCATAGCTTCTTCAGCCCCTCCGCCATCCAAAAAAAATCCCTTCCTTGGATCCTGATGCCTGGGATGTAAGGAAGGCCGAGCTAAGGTGCCACTGCCTCACAAGTTTGGGGGACAAAGAATAGATATCTCTGGTTGGGCCTCTGCTCTACGGGACTCGCTCTGGGGTTTTCTTGGAATCTGACACGGTCTGCTGTGGGCTGGCTCTCCAAGCCACCCTTTCCCTGCCCTTCTCCCCTGAAAGAGCCCTGTCTAGAGGGCTCGGAAAATCCTGCTACCTTTAGGACCTGGAGGATCCGAGTAGGGGGTCACCCTCCCCGCCCCCCAGCGAAGCCGGCACCGGAACTGCTCTAATGGGAACCAGGCAACCGTCCGTCGCTCCGGGAGGGCTATGGCCCGGGATGGGATTCCTTTCCAGACCTCTGTGGGACCTCGGGGGCGCAGGGGTGGGGAAGTGAGGGTGAAGAGATGAAGGGGGAAGCTAACCACCCGAAACTGCAGACACTCCTTGCATCCAGCTCACACTGTTCCCCAACCTGGACGGTCCTCCCTGGAAGGACCTCGGTAGAATTCGGGGTGCGTGTGTGATTTCCCAATGACAGTGGACTAGGGGCTACTGAGTCTCTCCCTCCCCCAAGGGACCATCCCCAAATTCCAGACCCCTCAGTCAGCCCCAGCCTGCTTCGTCCCAGCCCTGGACGCCAGGGGCGGAGGCTGCAGGAGGTGCAGCCCCGGCACCTGGAGCTGTCCCGAGCGCAGAGGGGTGCACTCCGAGCTCGGACCCGGCCGGACCGAGAAGCTGGGAGCTCGGGGTGGAGCTGGCTCGCTGCCGAGCGGTGGGAGGGGACAGGTTGGGGGTGGTCTCTGAGGAGGAGCCAGGCCGGACCGCATTGTTCCGCCTTGGCCGCCTGTAGCGCCAGCGCGGGCCGGGGAGGGCACGTGGGGTGCTGGGCTTCCGGGGCTCCCCTGGCCGCCCTGGCCCTGTGGGCGCGAGGAGAGGCAGGGGCCCCTGCAGGCCCCGGGACGCCACGGTTCGTGGCGCCCGGTGGGGCGTGGGCTCCCGAGGCAGCCCAGAAAGAGGGGTGGTCAGCACCCGCACCTCTGGGATTCCAAATCGGGGCCGCGCAGTCTCCTCCGCGATCGCGGACCCCGAGGCTGGGGGTAGGAGGGAGCTAGGGTGGCTGATGTGTCGCCTTCCAGGAACCCGGCACTCCGCAATGAGCGCGGGCCAGCACCGCCTCCCAGCGTCGCTGCGCGCACCCCGGGCCACCCCTGTCTAGTGGGGCCGGGGAGATGGGGGGCGGCGGGTCGGCCCTGAAGGTCTGCGCCGACCACCGCGGGGGCATCAACTGGCTGAGCCTGAGCCCCGACGGGCAGCGCCTATTGACCGGCAGCGAGGACGGCACGGCCCGGCTCTGGAGCACTGCGGACGGCCAGTGTTGCGCGCTCCTGCAAGGTACCCCCGCGCGCCTTCTTCGCCTCGCGCGGCCCTACGCCCTACTGGGGAGCCCAGCAATCCCGCCCCACTACTGCTCACCATAATCCAGCCCTGCCCCCGCGGCACCCCAAGGAGAGCCCAACTCCTTTGTGCCCAGGACACAGGCGGGAGGAGTAAGAAATGGGGAGCCCAGGCCAGGATGGACGATGGGGGTCACGTAGGCGGGTGGGCGGGTCATAGTGCCAGCCCGGGAGACAAGGTCAGTTGTCAACCCGCTGCATGAAATCATTACCATGACGGCAATTTTAGCAAGTTTAAAGAATTCGCATCTAAACTCCTAAGCAAGCCTTTGCCGTGGCTCGTTGACCTGGTGACCTGTGGCCGACATTTCCTGTCTGGGTCCTTAGTGAACCGAGGGAACAAGAAGGACTTGTTGGGGTGGTGGTGTTGTGGCCAGCAGGTCCTTTTACTAAGGGGCTGGGGAGGGTCCTTTTACTATTACCCTCCATTCAGACGTGGAACTGAGGTTCTGAGGTCAGTAACTTGTCCGGGGCTACAGCCAGGGAGCAGAGAGTACACTTGAAACTGGAGCTCACTCCACTGGCTCCGTCCAGCACCCTGCCCGGCCTCTGCCGGCTCCTTCTCAGCTGCTGCTTAAGGAAGGAGTGTTGGGATCCCTCTGTTAAGGCTGTTCCGCATATCTGAGGAGCCAAAGAAACCATCAAGTGTCCCAGGGTGGACACAGTCACATGAAGCCATCGGACACGAAGTACCTATTGATTTATATTTGCATTCTCATTCTCATTCTGTGGCAAGAGTGTCCCCTGGGTGCATCCAGCCCTGGCCAACATCTCTTTATCTGGGCACTGGTAAATCCTGGCTGGCCACGGCAATCCCTTCCAGCTGAGATAGAATGCTGATCTCAGCACTATTGCATTCAGCAGAACACAGTGAAGGTCCATGTCTCAGAGCCCAGGAGGGATGCATTTGGGTTACCAATCCCTTGAAAGCTGGGGTGGATAGCAGAGACCCCAGATAACACATGTTCTCCCCAACCTCCCCAAACAGCCGCATGCTCTGACAGGCAGCCACGTAAGAGCTGAGATCTGTGAGAGCATTTTGGTGCAGCTATGTGCTTCCTGACGCCGGGAATGTCTGAGGTGGGATTCAGTAATGCAGAGTCTCAGGGCTGGACTCCATGGATTCCCTGTGAGCAGAGCCCTACAAGTAGCATTTGGAAGAGGCTTTCAGGGGCTCTGATATGCAGACCCTGTGGGAGCCTCTGTGCTAGGTGGGTTTCTCCCCAGTTACACTCTGCCTGATCTAACCTGGTTCTCCGGGGTTGGTAACGGCTTGTCCCAGGGCAGCTCAGCCAAGCAATGGCAACATGTCTGCCATCTGGGTCTCCTCCATACCATTTTAGTGGCTGACACAGCAGCCTGCCCACTTAAGGCAGTGACATCTAGAGGGCCTGGCCTCCCCTGAGGGCCTCCCTACTCCCATGGAAATGGCTTGAAGACGGCTTCCTATTCCTACCAGAATGGAGTCTGTGCTCATAGAGGATGACAGCTTACAACTTTCCAGAGCAGAGAGGTCAAGGAATGCTTTCTTAGCTGGACACTGCTTAGAGACTCAACTTGCAGGAAGCACTGTGGGTGTGTGATGGTCTTTTTGTGTGTTCCCTTCCCAAAGTAAGATCTGGCTAGCTCCCTCCTCCTGGAGAGCTGGTGAAATGTTCTATCCTGGTGAAATGTTGGTAAGATGTCTTCTTCACCTTTGTTTTAGTCCTGTATATCTGGTAGGTGTCTGTGCATTTTTATAGTGTGGTTAATCTTCTCTGTCCTGGGGCAAGCATGGCCCATGTCAACGACATAAGCTTATTTACCAACACAGAGCATCCTATGTCCAAGGACCCGTGTACTGCCAGGAGCATGGTCTCATGCTCACCATCCTCTGTGCAGGGTGCCTGAAACACGGGGAATGTTTAAATTTTAAGAAGTTATTACAAGCCAGGTGTGGGGGCACACTCCTATAATCCCAGCACTTGGGAGGCTGAGGCAGGAGGATCATTGCAAGTTCGAGACCAGCCTGGGCTACAGTGTGAGCCCCAGGCCAGCCTGAACTGCTTAGCGAGACCCTGTCTTAAAAAGACACACCCATGGGGACTGGGGATTTAGCTCAGTGGTTAAGTGCCTGTCTTGCAAGTGTGAGGTCGTGAGTTCAAACCTGGATTACACATACCCAAAGTTATTGCAGTGAAAGACACGCGCCAGGCATCTCATTCCATGCGCTGCCGAGACAGGTGATGTTTCCTCAAATGGCAGCTCCTGTTCTGTTCAGGAGGGTCTAAGACAAAGACTGCAGAGTGGACAGGATGGAGCCAGCAGGGCTATCGCCTCCTTTCCAGGGACACTCGTATTGCATTACAGAGGCACTGTGGCGAGAGGGCCCCTTCGAGGCCATGGTGACCTTGTTGGATGCACAGTGAGCTCGAGCGGCCCTCTGGGGTCCTGGCCTAAGTCTACCTTCAGCTGCCCGTTGTCAGAATCTGTCCGGAAGTGGGAAGGCCAGGAGCAGCACTTGTGGTCTATGCAGTGGGGAGAGTGAGGGACGGGCTGGGTGGACAGCGGGGTCAGGTGGCCAGGACAATGCTTGTGTGTGCTGCAAGGTCCAGGGAAATACCCAAAATATGGGCCACCCCTGAAACTGTGCCCACAGTGTGATCAAAGCACTGGGCAAATGTTTAAATTAAAAAAAAAACTGTTGCAATGAAAGACCCGTTGTCCTCAAAATACTCCTCACTTTAAACACGCTGATCCCACTGTACTTGGTGCTTTCGAAAGCAGTTCTGAAAGTCTTTTTACTGATGTCTTTAGTGTGCTCTTGTGGCTGCCTTGATGTCCTCAATGGATTCTAGACATTCACTTTCTGGGGCTGGGGATATAGCTCAGCAGTGTGGCCCCTGCCTGGCATCCATGATGTCATGAGTTAGATCCCTGGATCCCTGGTACCAAAAAACAAAAAACATTCACCTTCTGTGGTCATTGTGACTTTGGTAAAGAGCAGAAGTGGCACGGTGGCAGATCCAGTGAATAAGGTGGGTAGGGACTTAGCATCATGGTGTTTTGTTTGTTTGAGACAGCATCTCACCATGCAGTGCAGGCTGGCCTGAACTCGATAGGAAGCCCAAGCTGGCTTGGAACTTGAGGTGATCCACCTGCCTCAGCCTCAGGAGTGGTGGGATTCCACCTCCATGCCTGGCCCTGGTATTGTGTTTTTGTAAGCCTGCCTGTACACTGGATAGGACTCAGCAAAGCAACCACTCTCTATTATGTTATCCCACTTCTAAAACTGCTTCAGAAAGTGACCAGAATGAGGGGTGAGTGTGTGCTGAGTGAGGAGGGCTAATGGCAACGTGTCCTGTACTCTAATATATTCTTTCGCCATGCATTTTGACCCTACCCTGCAATTGTGGGGCAGCCAGCTGCCTGCTGCTTAACCCCGGAACCCAGAGGCCAAGCTGTCCCAGATATGCCCCCCATTGGAGGTCAGCGTGGCCTGGGCCCCCAGGCTGCTTTTGCTGGACAGGGCGGACCCATGGTGACCCCGACCCTGCAGGCACTGGGACACAGGGAAGGGAAGAGCTGAGGCCTTGGCAGACAACCCTGGAGCTCGAGTCTGTCCTTTTGAACATAACCGCATTTTATCTGCATTCTTCATCCCTTTGAAAATATTTATTTTCAGTTTTACATTTTTTGCTGATCCTGCACAACCCTCACTGCTGAAGGCCGAGGCACTGTGGTCCCCTGAGGTGTGACAGACTGTGAGCTCTGGGGCTGTGGCTTCTCCCTCCCTCAGGTCACTTGGGGGGTCGGGGTCACACTGTGCAGTGGCGCCAGAGGGGTTGCGCTTGGCTGCAGCATTCCAGTCCTCTCTACTGCGAGCTCCACCCTGGTCCCCAGTGAGAGCACTTTCTGAGGTGACCCGAGTGCTTCAGAACAGAGGGGCAGGTGGCAGAGGGTAGAAGATGGGGGTGGGGTGGGGGTGCATCGGACCAGCCTGGCTCGGGTTCAGAGATGAGGTTTTATGTTTGAAAAACTTAGGGGCCAGGAGGTAGCTCAGTGGTACAGCGCCCAGCCCTGCAAAACTAAATGGAAGCCCATGGCTTCTGTTTGCATTGCTTCTTTTCTTCCAGGCTCTCTACCCATGTGTCTTCATGGGTAGGGATTTGTGACCTGTGTCTGTATTGGCTTTCCTGCTCATGGTGCGAGGAGCCCCAGTGGGCACTTTGGTTCTAGAGAGTAGGGGGGCATCTGCTGCTCGCTGTCTGCTTTTCGGCTCTGGCTGTTTCTCTCGGTTTAATTTACCAGTGACTCCTGCACCATACCTTTCTGCCATAAGCAGGGACAAAGCAGCTGTCACAGCTGGGTCACCCTCTCCTGGCCTCACCTGGTTGTGTCCTTATGTGTCAGAGGAGGTGACGGCTCTGCAGGCTGCTTGAGCACAGCCCCTGGCTGGCTTTAGCACCCTTTGACTCCCCCTTATCCCAGGTGTCCCCAGCCCTCTGGGGACTCCGAGGTGGCTCTTCCTTGGGCTCCCTGCTTCTCCAGTTTCCTCTCAACGCTCTGGGAGCAGGGAGAATGGAGCAGATCTGGTCTCAAAGCAAGAATGTGGAGAGCCTTAGAGTATTTTATAAATTCCTGGGGATTGGCAAAAATCCTGGCTGTTTTCCCAAACACATTTGGCCCTTAACTTTTACCATCAACGTGTACTTTAAGAGGAACATAATCCTACATTGTTTGCGTAACAGCCTGACAGACAAAAACTTCTCTTTCTTTCTTTTTTTAAAATCGGGGTTTTGAGAACCCAGGGGATCGGGTTCATCCAAAAGTTAAATAAGGTGAAGCCCAGAACAAAAATAAAAGACATATCAGTTTCACAGAACCTGGGAGAGTCTGAAACCCTCATCTTTCTGACATCTAAGTGAGATGATGATGATGATTTTGGGGGTACAGAGTTACTGAACCTGGTGTCTTTGTACTGAGCTACGTCTCCAGCCCTTTTTTGGTAATTTTTTTTGGTTTGAGACAGAGTTCTGCTCAGTTACCAAGTCTGGGCTGGAAATTTCGATCTTCCTATCGTAACCTGTCAAGAGTGCTGGGATTACAGACATTACTATGACTCCTGGCTGAGATTTGAAATCAAATTAAACACACACACACACACACACACACACACACAAGATGATGTGGCCTACCTGTTCTGTGGGTGTTTGAATCTACCAGTTCTGTCTTCTGTAAAAATAGCTACAAGGTTCCTTTGAATCTGTTGGTTCTGGTCTCTGAATTCCTCAAAGATGTACTCTGTGTCAAAAAGATTCCTTGGCCTGGAAGGGACTGGAGCCCCTGGGAGCTTCTAGGGCTGCTTGATCACCTCCTAGGCCTTAACACTGACCCTGCTGCCCTAGCAATTGGCAAAGGATATAGCTGCCGACCTGGAAGGTGGATGGCAGAGGGCAGTGCACACAGCCCTAGCCCCAACCCTGACCCTGCGCGGCCCTCCACTCTTGGATCCTGACCCCATTCCGCAGAATGCAAAATGCATGGCCAGAGAGGCTTCTCAACATCTCCTGTGTGTGACCTCCAACCCCTACTCAGTGTTCTTAGTGTCCCCTGAGGGTGCCGGGCCTCGTGCCCAAAGGCCCCTCCTGCTGGCTGTTTCTGGCTGGACTGGGTCCTCAGAAGGCAAGAGGTGTCTTCATGGTCACCTTCTGTGGCCTGTCTTTATCATTGGAATATGTGGTGTCTTAAAGCAACTATGGCTACTCTTGCCCAGTTGCTGAAGGCTGAAGTCCCAAATTAGTGTCCCTGCGCCAGACTGAGGCATTGGCAGGGCTACACTCCAGAAACCTGGAGGCAGCCATTTGTTTGGTGGCTGCCAGCACCTGTTGGCTTGTGGTCACCCTTTGTGGGTGTCTCCTTGCAGTTGTGTTTAGAGCCCACCTGGGCAATTCCCCCTCAATACCCTCAACTCAGACATACCCGCCATGCCCCTCTTCTGAGTCAGGTGACACTGACAACCCTGTAACTTGCAGCACCTGACAGGTACTGTTCCCCCCACCACTGTGCTTCTGCCTGAGAGAAAAGTTGCTAACGTGCAGCATCCACCAGGTGGTTGCCACTGTAACTGCACCTGCAGGATGACTGTGCCATGGGGATTGTCCCCGTTTCAAGCAAGGGACAAGCAATGTAGGAGAATGACATGGCAGAATAAACCTGGAGTCAGCAGTAGCATTACCAAGCTCCTGCCCAGCCACCCCCTTCCTCCTGCCTCCAGTTTGTTGGTTTGCTGAGCACAAACAGCTCAGTTTAAAGAAAACTAAAAGGAGCAGCCAGGGATAGTGGTACACACCTGTAATCCCAGCACTCGAGAGGCTGAGGCAGGAAGATCACTGAAATCAGGCTCAGATGCATAGTGAGTTCAAGGCCAGAATGGACTATTTAGTGAGACCTCGTCTCAAAAAACCAAACAAGCCATTCGTGGACTGTGAGAAAGGAGAACAAGAAACCAACAAGAAGCCAAGCCTTCCTTCAAGTCAGTGCCATGCATGGGCTGCTGGGGGAAGAACCAGATACCAACCTTTTCCCGTGAGTCAGCACCATTCATGGATTGCTGGGGAGGAGAACAAGAAGCCAAGCCCTCCCTGAGAGTCAGCACCATGCACGGGCTACTGTGAGGAGAATCAGATAGCAGCCCCGTTTGGTGGATGGGCTGGGAGACAAGAAGAGCCAAGATCCCCCACCGCATTGCTCTGCTGACTGATCCGGAGAAACACAGCCTGAGATGATAGGCATTGGGGTAAAATACAACTTAATGCTTGCAGTGTTCAATGTTCAAAACCAGTAGTCTGATCATCTATTCAGAAGATGACGATACACAGTGTAGCATCTGTGGGAGATCTTCTGACAGTGGTAGCCATTGTTAATTCCTTATTATCTTGTTTTGAAGTCCTATGTCATTTTCATTGTTTTGCTGAGTTATGTTTTATTGTTTTTTCTTGTTTGATTTAATTATATCCGATAGCATGGGCAGCTGTTTCAAAGATAGCAAGGTGTATTATGGTAGCCATTTTGGATTTACTCATCTTTATTTTGAAGTCCTTTATTGCATTCATTGTTTTGTTTATTGGTTCTATTCTGTTCTGTTTTGTTTGATTTTCTTTTTCTTATGTCTGAAGTTATGGGCAGCTATTTTGAAGACAACAGAAGGCATTGTGGTAGCCACTGTTGATTTCCTGTTACCTTGTTTTGAGGTCCTATATCACTTTCACTGTTTGGTTTTGGTTGGCTTTTGCTTGGTTTTATTCTCTTTAAAATAAAAATTACAAAACAAAACCCTATACAAACAAGAAACAGAAGAAGATGGAAGAAGGAGAGGCGACAGAAGAGTGGGAACTGGGGAGGGGATGGGTTTGGGAGGACAGGTGAGTGACATCCCCGTTCCTGGAGCACCCTGGGTGCAAACAACGCTGTCAACTACAGAGGGCCGCCTGTCCTGCGCTCCTGGTCCATCTTTCCTCTCCTTCCAAATCTTCCCAGAGGAAAGCAGGCACCGGCATGTGTCCCTCTCCCATTCTCTCACATGTCCCCTTGCCTGCAGGACACGAGAGCTATGTGACTTTCTGCCAACTGGAGGACGAAGCCGCCTTCACCTGCAGTGCTGACTGCACCATCCGGAGGTGGGATGTGCGGACAGGCCGGTGCGTGCAGGTGTACCGGGGACACACATCCATTGTCAACAGGTCAGCCTGGCATGGCGGGGCGGATGAGCCCTTAGCAGGGGGACAGAAATGTGTGTTCTCTGGGGAACTCATTATGTGGAAAGTAGCACACATTGACCTGAGACCCTGGACAGAAGTGTTCCCAGGTCCAAGTGCTAAGTGTCCTGGAGCTGCATGGGGATTTGGGAGCAGGAAGGGAGAACTGGGCTGTTCAGAGCCCCTGTTCCCAGCCTGGCACCATGCTTGCCCTTGCTGGGTACTGGGAGGTCTTCTGTGCCTACTAACAGGGACAGATTCCAGAGGGGATGCACATTGGTACCTAAGAGCAGACTGAGGGGTCAGAGGAGGAGGCCGTGTTGATCATGCTGTTGAGGGTGTTTTTAAGCCTCTCCACACAACTGCTGGATGCCCCTGCTCCCTCCTTCTGTGGGTTTAGATGTTTCCTTCCCATCCTTGTTGGGATGGAGCTGAGTCTTAGAAATGCCTTTGCTGACTGGATCAGTTTGACTCTGCATGGCCCTTGCGGGTCTCTCTAGGCTTCTGAGGGGATGCTCAGACAGTGAGCTTTGGCCTGGTGGCCTTCAAAGCCATGTTGGTAGAAAGGTTCTGCCCAAGGGTATCGCAGGGCTGGGATGAGAGGACACAGAGAAGAGGATGTACTGCCCGCTGCATGGGCTCTGAGCATACTGGTGGGTGACAGGACAGACCAGGTGTGATGGTGCATGCCTGTAATCCTAGCACTCAGGAGGCTGAGGCAGGAGGATGGCTGGGAGTTCAAGGGCAGCCTGGACTACTGTCACCTGCCTCTCAGAAGTAGAAACAGGTGATTCAAGGTGGAAATTACACTTTGCCAGATTTAGTGTCCAAGGTGTGTGCACACACACACACAATTTATACATGTGTGTGCGTATAGGTGCACACAAACAAAAGAGAAACATATGCACATGTGCCCAGCATGTTGGCCATGCACACACACGCAATACACACACACAACTCACAATCACAACGTGGTGCACTCACACATATACACTTACACGAATGCACATTCTCATGATGAAATAACTGAGTCCCAAGTGCTGGGCCCTAGAACTCACTCCTCCCATTGTTTCTGAGACGATCAGGTGAGTGAGATTTGGGGACACTGTTTCTTCAGTGGCCTGGCACCAGTCTTGCCATGTCACACCTTGGGAGGATTTCACCAACCAACCCGCCACTCCCCAGAGCTTTCCCCGAACATCACTGGCTGTGTCTCAGTATGTCTCAGGCCGGGGTGTGGCCCCAGGTAGCCAGCTTGCTCAGCGTGTGCGAGGCCCTGGGCTCCTTCCTCAGAACTGCTCTGCCTGTGCTGCATGCCCCAAGGGAGGAGCTAGCCAGAGGAGTCGGCTTTTCACACAGTTCCTGTCATTTTGTCACTCGTAGGAAAGGATGCCAGCCCCAAAGCCTCCTGGAAGGAGCAGAGGCCTTGGAGGCCTGGTGCAGGAGGGTCCCAGCCTGGGCTGCCCTTGGTCTGCACCGGTAGGGTGTACTCTGTTGCAGCTGCAGCCCTGATGGGCCCTGAGTTGCTTCCTTCCTGGGATGAGGGAGCGTAAGCAGCCTTTGAAGGTCTGTGCTGAAGTCGAACACGCTGGCTCTTTCCTTGGGGAGAAGTTCACAGAGTTCAGTAAAATGAGAGGTCATGAATATTTCCTGCCCAGAAGATCTGGGCCTGAGGTCAAGCAGCTCCACAAATCAAGGGACCCTACTGGCTTCCTATCCAATAGTTCCCTGGCCGTGGCCGGTCCCAGCCTGTGTTCCCCCTGGGGCAGTGACCTGGAGCAGCCACGTCACCATCCATGTGGGGATCACCATGTGAGTTGATAGCAGAGTCCACTCACCCAGCTTTGCCTCCCAGCCACTGGGGACACGCTGGAGCCAGGGAGGCTGGAAGGGCTCTGGAATTCCTCTCCGAGTCCCGGAAATGCCTCTGCCAGCCAGTGGGTCCACGCCATTCCCTTGGTGGCTAGCTGGTCCCACTTGGCCCTGGAATTTCCCGATTTTCATTGGAAAGCCCTGTGTTCCCAGCAACCTGGGCAGACCAGAAGGGGTGGTCGTCCCACCTGTCCCTTCCATCCTACTTTCCCCTCGTTTCACTTTTCTCATTGCTGACACAAAATACCTGACACCCAAAGTCAGAGGAGAAAAGATTTATTTTGACTCACAGTTTGTAGAGGTTTTAATTCACGGTTGGCTGGATCCAAGACAGGGTGACGTGGCAGAGGGGTGTCACAGAAATAGTCCACGGCAAGCAGGCAAAAGCACATCAGCCCCTTTCTGTTCCTCTTGGCTCCAGGGGTTGAGTGCCTGGATTGCTGAGCACTCTGAACCCAGACTCTGGGAACAGATTCTCTAGCTCACCGCCATTGTCGAACATGGTACTCTAGGGCTCTTTTCTCAAAGCAAAGTCTTTCACCTTTGCAGCTCTGAGGCTGTAAGGCTGGAGCCTACTGGTTCTTGTGATGCCCTCAGCCCATGTTTTCTGTTGTCTCCTTCCAAAATACTTGACTATTTCTTGCTCGTCTTTTTGGCAACCAGTTTCTCCTCTGTTCCATCTTTGCAGGTCACAACTCTATTGGCGCTTCCCTTCTGGCTAAACTCACATTTTGAATTATTTTGCTGGGCTTTTTGCTCTTGATTCTCAAGAGCACCCAACAGTTGCCAGGCCACCACATTAACATTAAATTGCGTTGAAATTTCTTCTGCAATGCCAGGTGTAGTGGCTCACGTCTATAGTCTCAGCACTTGGGAGGCTGAGGCAGGAGGATTGATGTGATTTTGAGGCCTTCCTGGGCTATAAGATAAGTTCAAAGCCAGCCTGAACTTCAGAGTAAAACTCTGTCTCAAAAAGACAAGACAGAGAGAAATTTCTTCTGCAAGACTCATTAAATCTGCCACCCTTAATCTCAGTCTTAGGCAAAATCTCTGGACATGAGCAAAATGCAGACAAAGTTTCTGCCAAGTTATAATACACATTGTCTGGAGCCCAGCAGCCAGTGCAGACCTTCCCGGCAGAATCTTCCCAAGCCTGATTTCTATCAGCCTGATGGTCTCCTGAGCTCTGACCAGAATCTCCCACCAAATACAGGTTCAGCTGTTCCAAGGTTTCCTTTTCAGCCAGCTTGTCCAAACCTTTCCAAACTCTACCCACAAGCCAGATCCAGAGGCTGCTCCTGAACCACAGGGTTAGGCGCAGTAGATCCCACTTCTGGTACTAGATTTTTGCCTTAGTTCTTTTTCTTGTTGCTGAGACAAAATACCTGACACCCAAAATTAAAGGAGGAAAAATTTATTTGGCTCACAATTTGTAGAGGTTTCAGTCCGTCATTGGTTGGCCCCAAGATGGAGCAGCATAGCAGAGGGACATCACAGAGGAGAAATAGCCCATGGCAAGCAGGCACGACAGAGCACATTTTAGCCTGCTTTCTGTCTGTTATATTGCATGCAGGCTGCCCTGCTCTAGGATGAGTATAGCACTCACACCATAATCCTAGCCAGTGTGATGCCCAACTGATCAGTGGGCTGATTTAATAATCCTGCACTCTTGATCCCAGCACCATACACTCTAGATCCAGCCACCTGTGAAAAGCTGCACCTAGAACTGCATGAGGCTTTGGGGGGCATCTAGACACAAGCTATAACACCCCTTTTCTTCATAGCAGCACAGCTGTGTGCAGCAGCTGCCGTGAGCAGAGCAAGAACACAAGGTCTGAGCCTTGGTACCTGCTGGGTCTCAGCCTTGGTCCCTGAAGGATCTGAGCCTTGCTCGATTGGGTCTCAGTCTTGGTCCCTATGGGTCTGAGGCTCGGTCTCTGCCTCAGTAAGGGCTAGACCCGCACACAGCTCAGCACAGAGAAGGGGTTCCATCAGGGAGGGGTCCCTGATGGCATCAGGAAGCTTTGCGGAGGTGGACACTTTGATCTTGACCCTGGAGGATGAGTGTGGTGGTAGCCAGGGAGCAGGAGGCTGTCCTGCTGTGGCACTTGTGGAAGTTGAATGGGTTCCAGCAATGCTCCATGCTCTGACCCTTGAACTTTCACCTCTTGCTCTAGGATCCTGGTGGCCAACAACCAGCTCTTCAGCAGTTCCTATGACCGGACTGCCCGGGTCTGGATTGTGGACAAAGAGCAGGTGTCCCGGGAGTTTCGGGGCCACCGCAACTGTGTCCTGACCTTGGCCTACTCTGCCCCCTGGGACCCTACCTGTGCAGAGGAGGCTGAGGCTGGGGGCTTCCTGGTGACCGGCAGCACAGATGGCACTGCCAAGGTGTGGCAGGTGGCCAGTGGCTGCTGCCACCAGACGCTGCGAGGCCACACGGGCGCCGTGCTGTGCCTGGTACTGGATGGTCCTGGCCACACAGTCTTCACGGGCAGCACCGATGCCACCATCCGTGCCTGGGACATCCTGAGTGGGGAGCAGCTACGAGTATTCCGAGAGCACCAGGGCTCTGTCATCTGTCTGGAGGTGAGAGCTCGGGCTGGCTGGGGGCCTAGGCACACCTTGGAGTCTCCCTGCCTCTGTGTGCCAGCTAGCATTGGCTGGGGACTGAGATCCAGCGGCAGGGCTCAGAGGGCACTGCCTTGTCTCTCACTTCAGAGGCCAGAAGTCAGAGTGAAACCTGTCTGTCAAGGGCCAGCTGCTCCCAAGGGCTCTCCTTGGCTTGTGGATACCAACTGTTTGTGTCCTAACTTTCTCTTTCTGTTTCTATCTGTCTCTGTCTCTGTCTCTGTCTCTGTCTCTGTCTCTCTCTCTCTCTCTCTCTCTCATTTAAGACAGGGTTTTGATTTGCATTCAGGCTGGCCTTGGGCTCACTTTGTAGCCCAGTCTGGTCTCAAATTTGCAGTGATCCTCCTGCCTCAGCCTCCTGAGTGCTGAGATTACCCACATGCACCACCAGGCGGCCCAGCATCCTAATCTCTTTTTATCATGACACCAGTCAAATCAGATCAGGACCACTCTAATGACTTCAAAATTTTGTTGGTACATTTTAGATATATATAATGTTAACACTCATAGAGAATTTGTACCTGCACATGACAGACACATCTTGCTTCTTTTTTTCCCAATCCCCTCCTCCCTTCAATCTCCCTTCCCCTCTTCATTTGCAAAAGCTTTGTTTTCACTTTCTCCTTCTATTCTTTTTTCTCATTTTTCCTTTTCCTCCTCCCTTCCTTATTCCTTTTCTCATCTGAGCATTTCCTGATATCTCTTAACATTTTGGTGATTATTTATGCTTTTGTTTTCTCATACTAGCAAAACAACATAGTATTTACACGTGTGTTTTCTGAGTTTCCATTGCATTAAGGTCTTTAATCTTTATAATTTCTTCTCTCATATGTGCTTTGGGCTTGACTTGCTCTTCTTTTTCTAGAAATTCAAGGTTCAGCATTAGTTTGTTTATTTGAGCTTGCTTTGTTTTCTGACATGGAAATTCACTGCTATACATTTCCCTCTAGGGCTGCTCTAAATGCATCCCATAACTTTCAGTGTGTTGTACTGGCATTATTGTTTAATTATAGAAGCCTTCTAATCGCTTCTTTAATTTCATCTGTGTCTCACTGGTTTTTCAGAAGGGTGTTGCTCAATCTCATCGCACTGTGGTCTGATAGTAGGCGTGGAATAATTTCATTTCCTTTGCCTTTACTTCAGCACCTTCTGTGAGCCAATTCGTGGTCTGTTTTGGAGAACGTCTCATGTGCAGCTGAGAAGAATGTGTACTCTGATGTCATGGATATCTATGAAGTTCATTTGTTCAAAACTTTGGTTCAGTTTTGATATTTCTCTGATAATTATATTAGTTCTTATTTGATCTTTCATGTCTGTTAGTATTTGTTTTACATGGTTGGCTGGTATTTGGTCCATGTATATTTATTATTGTTACCTCTTTGTTTTGAATTCCTCCTGTTACGAGGCTGTAGTGACCTTTTTTGTCTCCCTTAATCAGTCTTGGCTTGAAACTCACTTCATCTGCAAATAGAATAGCTACCCCTGCTTTTTTGGGGGGTTCCTGTCACGTGGTGTGTTGATTTCCATGCTTTGACTTTCAGTCTGGGATTTCTTTTTGAATTAAATGTGTTTCCTGTATGCGGCATATTGTTGGATCTGCTCCTTTTTTTTTTTTGTCTTTTTCCTTTTTATCGGTACCAGGGATCAAACTCACGACTGCCTGCTTGCAAGGCAGGCGCTTATGCCGCTGAGCTAAATCCCCAGCCCCTAGATCTGCTTCTTTACCCATCCTGCTAAGCTGTGTCTTTTCTTCTTTTTTTTTTTTTTTTTTTTTTTTTTTTGGTACCAGGGATCGAACTCATCACTGCGTGATTGCAAGGCAGGCGCTTATGCTGCTGAGGTAAATCCTCGGCTACGCTATGTCTTTTGATGAGTGAACTGAGACCATTCACACTGATGGTTCTAGCTGATATGAACTGACTAATCCTTGTTATGCTATTTTCCTGTTGTTGGTTCCTTTTTTCCCTCTGTTTGATTGCTTGCTGTCATGGTTTATGTCTGTGCACCCCCCCCCCCCAGGAGTTTGCATTGTGCATTTGTGATTGGCTCATTGTCTAGTGCTTGGATTGATGGTGTCAGTGCTCCACCCACATAAGGGTGGAGCCAGGATGTGATGTAATGGCAGGAAGAAGGTGTGTCTTGCTCTTTGCCAGCTGCCATGAACAGCGGCCCAGCCATGCCCACCTCCCTTGGAGCCAACTGAGTGTGGACTGAGACCTCCAAAAACTGTAAGAAATAAACCCTTCCTTTCCCAACTTTGGCTTCAGGTATTTTGTCTCAGCAACCAGTAAAAAGTAACTAAGACACTTGCCTTGTCTGGTGGATTCCTTCTGTTGGGGTTCATGGAGCTTTAGTCCTTCTTGTCTCTTTCTAGAAAGTCCTTCAGAACGTTTTGGAGTGCTGGTTTTGCTTGTCATGAATTTCTTCCGGTGTTTTTTGTCATGGAAGTATCTTATTTCTTCATCAGTTTTGGTACTAGGAATCAAATTCAGGGCCTCGAACTTGCCAGGCAGGCACTGTACCGCTGAGCCACATCCCTGGCCTCTTCAACAGTTTTGAAAGATGGTTTTGGGGCTGGGGATTTAGCTCAGCGGTATAAGCTCCTGCCTTGCAAGCAAGTGAGTTCAGTCCCTGGTACCGACAAAAATGAAAAAGACCAAAAAAAAAAAAAAAAAAAAAAAAAAAGTTTCATAAAGAAGGATAAACTGGACACTTTTATAGGCCCTGGTTATTTGGCATTGGGCTACAGATCTGATTGTGGCTCTTAAGGTATCCCAGTCTTAGCATATCAGGAAGAAGAACTGATTAAAACATTCCTAAGGTGGTACAATCTGCCATAACAATAGCATCAAACACAACCTAGAAAAATAACAAATTGTGCTAACTATTGATTTGTTATCTTTAACTGTATGAATTACATTTGTGCTTACATCACAAAACCTAAAAGACACCAGAAAATGGTATACTGCAAACATTTCTGCAATATGGAAATTTTACCCTCAGGACTGAAAATTTAAAAGGGACTAAGGGAAAAAATAGAGAAATAGAAGAGGAAGAGAGTAGAACCAAAGTTAGAGGACAAAGAAAGATTATCAGAAGTTTGGGAAACTTATAAAGAAGACAGAAGGGAAAGGAGAAGGAATAAATATAATAAGAACGGAGCAGAATAACAACAATAAAAAAAACTAGAAGGGGCTGGGGGTTTATTTAGCTCAGTGGTGTAAGTGCTTGCCTGGCAAATGCAAGGTTGTGAGTTCAATCCCCGGCACTAAAAGAGAAAAAAACAACCCTAGAAACAATGTTCACATTTATATAAAAACAAGAACAAATAGTCAAGACAAACGAAAACAAAAAAAATGAAAATAAGAAAAAAAAAAAAAAAAGTGTCTCTGCTGTCACTGGTAAAGAAATTGGGCAGACAGAGCCCAGACCTGTGCTGATTAATCCCAGCAGGCCAGCTGAGGATTTCCAGCAGGAAAGTGGACAGTCTCAGCAAGCTTATATCTTTTTTTTTTTTTTTTTTTTTGTCTTTTTCATTTTTACTGGTACCAGGGATTGAACTCACGACTGCCAGCTTGCAAGGCAGGCACTTATGCTGCTGAGCTAAATCCCCAGCCCTGCAAGCCTGTATCTTAACTCCACTGAAGTTCAGGCTGCTTCCAGGCTGTGAGGCTGGAACCCAGTTTGTTCATCCTGCAACACTCTGTGTGCCTCCTGCCGGCTTGGACTCAGGTCCTTGACTCCTCGCAGGTTTGAACAGGTTTCGACGTCACCCTGACACTGGGAGCCACTAAGTGGAGCTGTGCTGAGGTACAAGCTCAGCTGGCTTCTCTCCAGGACAGCTGCTTCCCAGCACCCTCTCCTGGGGGAGTCTGCACTTGTATAACTCACCAGCCACCGCAGTCTGCTGTGTCCACTGCTCCGTTCCACTGGAGTGGAGGCCTCTGGAGTCACCAGGAGTGACTGCAGTGGGTCTGCAGGTTTGGGCCACCCTTCCCATGCAGTGAGTGGGTCAGGGCTCAGGGAGAAAGTGCTGCTTGCCACCTCTTTCTTCACTGAATTAATTCCCTCTCTTCATTCTCCCTTCAGATCCTTGCTGGGTCCCAGGGACCCACTCCCCACCTTGTTCTCTTCATGTCCCTGTTCTCCAGCTTCTGGACACCCCATCTCAGAGAGGCTGGTTTTTTTTTTTTACTTTTTTTTTTTTTTTTTTTAAAGATTAAGGTAAAAGAGGACATAACAACCCAGATCAGAACAGAACTATTTAAGCAACATAGTGTTTCACCAAAAGACAACCCAACATAACAGTAGCTACCATAGTGTACTTTTCCTTGAAATATTTGAGTATACCTTCATACACTATAGTATCAAACATAAAAAGACAGTGTAAAACCATTCAAGAGAATGAAAGTATTACAGGGTATTCAGAACCAACTAACAGAAAATGAACAATGGTTACTATATTATCTCCTTGTATATAAAAAATTTTGTTTATACTATCATATATAATAAAATCCAGTGAGATACAACATGATAAAACCGATGGAGACAGAAGAACAAAAGCTTGGTGGGACTTCAAAACAAGATGATATTGAATCATCACTAGCTTTTATAGTGTCTTGTTTTCTTCAAAATAGCTGTTCATACCATCACAGACAATAAAATCAAACAACCCAGAATAAAACCATTTAACCAACTAATGAATGAAAACATTATAAGGCTTCAAAGCAATATAATGGGGAATCATGATTACCACATACTTTTATGTATTCTTACCATTTCTTACACTATTTGGTATTTATATATGTGAGTTTGATTTATTTCACGTATGAGTATGGTCTTAAGCTGCGTCCATTTATTTATAAGTATCTCAACGTGATCATTCTTTATAGCTGAGTAGTACTCCATTGTATAAAAATACCACATCTTTTTTATCCATTCCTCAGCTGATGGACACTTAGGTTGTTTCCCAACAAATATTACAAATTGTGTTGCTATAAACATGGGTGCACATATATCACTGTGGTATGATGCTTTCAGTTCTTCTGGGAATATGCCTAGAAGTGGAATAGCTGGGTCAAATGGGGCTTCCAGTCCCAGCTTTCTGAGATATCTCCAGACTGACCTCCACAATGACTGTACTAGTCTATACTTCCACCAACAGTGTAGGGGAGTTCCTTTTTCCCCACAGCCTCTCCAGCATTTGTTGTTGGTGGTTTTCTTGATCTTGGCCATTCTTTCAGGAGTGAGATGAAATCTCAGTGTGGTTTTAATTTGCATTTCTCTAATGACCAGTGATGGTGAACATTTTTTCATGTATTTATTTGCCGTTGTATTTCTTCATCTGAAAATTGTTTATTCATCTCAGATGCCCATTTTTGGATTAGGTCTTTGAATTTTGGGGGTCTGATTTTTTTTTAATTCTTTATATGTTTTAACAGAAGTCCTTTGTCTGAGGGACAGTTCACTAAGATTTTTTTCCCAGTTTGTGGGTTTTCTTTTCACTATGCTGGAGATTTCTTTTGACATGCAGAAACTTTAATAAGACGTGATCCCAGTTATTGTTTCTGGGAAGTATTTCCCATGTGGTTTGATTCCTGTTCATGAATTCTCTACCTACCCCTATGTCTTCAAGGTTTTTACCCAATTTGTCTTCCAATAGATTTAGTGTTTCTGTTTTAATATTCAGATCTTTGATCCATTTAGATTTTAGTTTAGTATATAGTGATAAGCATGGGTCTAGTTTTAGTTTTTGGCATGTGGAGAGCCAGTTTTTCCAACACCATATTAAAGAGATTGTCGTTCTTTCAGTGAACATGTTTGGCCCCTTTATCAAAGATAAGGTGGTTGAGTGTGTTTGTAGTTGTGCTTGTATCTTCTAATCTATTCCATTGATCTTTGGCTCTGTTTTTATTCCAGTACCATGTTGATTTTACTACAGTTTTGTAGTAAAGTTATACTACATTCTTTGTAGTATAACTTCAAGTCAGGGATTGTGATGCCTCCTGCCTTGCCTTCGCTGCTTAGAACTGTCTTTACTACTCTAGGTCTCTTCTGGTTCCAGATGAATTTTAAGAGTGATTTAGAGAGGCTGTTTTTCTGCCATTCATTGCTCTGCCATCTTTCTCTGGAGTTCGACTTCATTTTAAATTAAATTATGTCTTTAATGATCCTGTCTCAAAGTCACAAAATCTGGGCACTGTAATCCTAGCATTCAGGAAACTCATGCAAGAGGATCCCCGTGAGTTTTTAAGGCCAGCCTGAACTCGACAGCAAGACCTTCTCTCAAAACTAACAAAAAACAAGGACCCGTTAGCTGGCAAGAACTCTACTCCAGAACCCTGCTTGAGCTGAGTGAACCTGGTGGGCAGTTGCATGTGTCCCTGTCCTTTTGGGAATGGACCAGTTAGGAAGGCTGCGTGTTCAGAAGCCAGCCAGAGTCCTCCTAGAGCTGGGAGTATAACAGAAGCCAGGGACCCTCTGTGGGCCCTGCTGTGCAGCTCCTGCTTCCAGGAGGTCACGCTGTGTGATATGTGTCCCACACCCCACCCCGACTGCCACCAAAGTGATTGTCCCAGAGCCACCCAACTCCTTGGACCTGGGCCACTTCCAGTGTGGGTTCGTGAGCTGCCTCTAGGGTGTATATAGGGGGCAAGAGGAAACTCAGGCAACCGTGGGTACTGAAGCATAAGCAGCCCAGAACGCAGTTGAAACGGACAGGTTTGAAGAAGGTTTGAAGGATGCTGGTGGCCAGTGTGGGGAGACAGGGCGCTCACTGCCAGCTGTTTCCAGAGAAGGGCTCTGAGAGCCTCATCTGTTTCTATGTCCTGGTCTTGGATGCCTCGGGGTCCCAAGTAAACACACCCCAACCCACTGACTGGATCCCTGCTGGGTAAGAACCTGTCCCTTGCAGCAAAGACCCATCCTTCGTCTCCTGGGCCCTCGCCTCACCTCTGCTGCACTAGCAGCTTTCCAAGGCCAGGGTGAGCCTGTCTCGGGGCCTTGGGCCCTCCTTGTGGATATAGCCCCAAGGGACCCTCTGCGCAGGGTGCAGGGACTCTGTGGTGGCCCCTGGTGGCCCAGCTTTAGTTCTAGCTGAAGAGCACCTCTGTGCCAGCCTGGTCTTCCTGATCCTTTTTTGGTTCTTGTTTTTTCTTTTGGTATCAGGAATCAAACTCGGGACTTTGCGCTTGCCAGGTAGGCATTTGTGCTGCTGAGCTGTAGCGCCCGTCCTGGTCTTCCCGGAGCCTGGTAGACCCTTTTCCCTCCAGCAGGAGTCCTGTATGGAGGCCCTTCTAGAGCTGGGCGTCTCTTTCTGTCCCCTCCAGAGGTGTCGCTACCCTCCATGGGCAGAGGGGGATTCTACGGCCAGGTGTGGGCAGGGTGAAGCCTGGGCGACTGCTGTGTCTCAGGTCTGCAAGCCTGCCCTGTGGCGAAGGAGGAGCCGGGCTTGGCGCTGCTGGACAGACCCGGGGGACCTCCGGCAAGGGTCTTCCCACTGTGACCTGCGCACACTCCCTCCCCAATCCTGCACAGCTCGCGGAGCGGCTGCTGTACTCGGGCAGTGCTGACCGAACCGTCAAGTGCTGGCTGCCGGACACTGGGCACTGTGTGCGCACCTTCCCCGCCCACCGCCGCAGCGTGAGCGCCCTCAAGTTCCACTCAGGGACCTGTAAGTGACTGCCCTGGCCCGGTGCCCCAAAATCCTCTGTCTTCAGGCTTGGGTGTGGTTTTCCTCTCTGAGCCTCAGCTGGAATCTGGAATCCAGGATCCAGAGTCCCAAGGCAGGGCCCTCCCCCTAGCTGTCAGAGGTCACGTGGGGTGTTGGCCCCGCCCATCTCCAAGGAAGAGTGTGATGGGCAGGGCTTGGTGGTGCACACCTGTAAGACCAGCACTGAGGAGGCTGAAGCAGGAGTCTGTCTCAAGTTTGAGCCCAAGTCTTAGTGCACAGTGAGTATCAGACCTGCCTGGACTACATAGAGCCTGTCTAAAAAAAAAAAAATGGGGTGACCTGAATACTCAGAGGTCTTAGGGTGAAAAGCCTGTCCCAAGGACACATCTGACTCTCCAGCAGAGACCACTACTACCCCTTAACCCAGCCGGATTCGAGGTGCAGGGGTTTGGCCTCACTTGGCCCTAGAGTTGGCCTCAGATGAGAGCCAGGTGTTGTGGTTTAAGTGAGCAGTGGATATTTTTCTCTCAGAAGCCCTGGGTTGGCATGCTGAGAGGCTGCACGGAGCCTGGGCATCCCGATCCCTTCCATCACTGCCTCCTCCTTCATCCTTGGTCACCTCTTCTTCCTTTGGTGGAGCTTCGGGTTTCAAGATAGTTGGGGAGGGGGCAGACACTGGGTCCTGTTTTAGGCAGGCAGAAGAGGAAGGACGGAGGGCTGCACCTCCTGGCGGCAAAGTACCCATCTAGATGGTTCCAGGAGCCTCAATGAAAGGCCTCTGCTGGTAGCTCTTAGAGTTCCCCCTGCAGGAGAGGCTAAATTAGGGTGAGACATTACCCAGGAGCTGAGCCAAGCTCATTTTGGACAGGAAGAAGGGCAGACTATCTCACGTTGCTGGCTATGTTCAGTTGGCTCAGCACGTTTATACCCAGGATGTGGCCACCTAGGAAAGCACCCCCATCCTCAGCACAGAGTGCATGATCTGAGGGCTCCGAGTCCCCAACTGTGGCCCCATTTTCACAAGCCGGGCTGCAGCAGTCAGTGCCCCGAGGCCTCAGTATTCCCCGAGAATGCAGGAAGAGTCACCTGGAAACTTCAGGTGAACTCCAGAGTGGAGGAGCTGGGTGGTAAAATGGGTTTCTGTAAGCACAGCTTTGGGATTCAGGTGCGGGACATGGGCAGGTTATTTCTGCCTTCTGCTGTGTCCAAGCCTGGACAGGTGACTGTGCCCCTGCTCCCCAGCGAGGACCTCTAATGGAAAGGGCACACCTGGGCGGCAGCCAGCTGCCCCTCATCTGATGCCCAGGCCACTCTGCTTTCCTGGGCTCCTGTGTGGTTACTGAGTTTGAGGGATACAAGAGAGGAGTTGAAGAGCAGGGCAGTGAAGCCCCTCTCTAGGGTCCTGGGTTCCTCCAGGAGCCCACAAAGGCTGGCCACAGGCTGGGGAAGAGGACAAATAGGTCAGAGGTCAACACTGCAAGACCAGGGAGCTGCCCGGAAACACCAGTTTCATTAACACTGTGCATTGGGACCTGGCTTGGAAACTGGGGGCATCCCTCCAAGGCAGGCGGAGGTTGCCCTGCTCCTCATCTCGTCCCGCACCCAGGGAGGAGGTGGCAGGGTGGCTGAGAGTGTCTATGTGCCACTGTTTGTCCAGTGTTCACAGGCAGCGGGGACGCCTGCGCCCGGGCCTTTGATGCCCAGTCAGGAGCACTGCAGAGGGTGTTCCGAGGCCATGCACTCATCATCAACTGCCTGCAGGTAGGCCTGGCCTGAGCCCACTGCCCTCCCAGCGAGGCCTCTGCAGCATCATCCAGACCAGGCACCTGACACCCTGCCCACCCTGTAGGTGCACGACCACGTGCTGTACACAGCCTCACACGATGGCGCCCTGCGCCTCTGGGACCTGCGTGGGCTCCAGGCTCCGTGCCCCAGGCCCACAGCCAAGCGCAGCCTGTCACGCCTCTTCAACAACAGGGTGGCCTGTGTCACAGCTGCACCCCTGCAGTCCACCTGAGCCAGGGCCTGCGCTGCTGCCTGGGGCCCAAACAACAGGTGCCCCAGCCTGGAGGAGCTGCCCAGCCTCCCCAAGCCTCCGGCTGAGGGCTGCCTGCTGTGTGGTGACAAATCTCGTCCTGGGGGACACAGATTCTCCATATCCCCAGCCCAGCTCCTCAGTCTACCTTGGAGCCCCCTGAAATGATACCCCAAGGTTATGAAGCACCCAGAAAGGCCTTTTTATCTAGAGTAGGAAGGGGGATTTTTTAATTTTACAAAAGCCACAGAATCAGATTGTTGCTGTGGCAAATTGTCACCAGAGTTCTCATGAAGAACTGAAATACACATCCTCAAAGTTAAAAGTGCTCAAGTACATTTTGTTCTGCAAACCAATTCTTGGCTCCATGGGCAGGGGACAGCTTTACCTCCCTGATGAGACTAGGGGCTGCCACCTGTGTCACCCTGGATAGAGAACCCTTTCCTTTCCCCGCCTCATTCCAGGAAGGTTTATACTTGTGATCCCAAGGAGAAGTTACTGGGATTCTAGTAAGTTAGTTCCAATCCACCACTTCCAGTGCGACTCAAGGTGAAAATAGACACTGAAATGTATGTACAATTATAGGGAACCAAGGGGTCCTAAGTCCAGCCCAGATGATGGTTCACCGGAACAAAGGCCATGACCCAGGGCCCAACCCAGGTTTTATTAATTCTGCATGAGGGCAGTGGCTCGGGGAGCAGTGACAGCGAGAGTGGTGGGAAACAGGTGACTGCCAGGACTCCCATGAGCTGGGCCAGGTAGGAGCTCTGAGATCACCTCTGCGATATGCAGAGGGCAGGAAGTGCAGGGAGGAATCTGCATAACAGCTGAGGCGGTAGCTAGTGATTGGGTCAGGGCTTCAGTTCTGATGTGCGACCCTTTTCGCCCTGGGAGGTCCCAGCCAACATCTCTACCCCACCCGGCCTAACCATATATTTGGGGAGTCACGGGGTGGAGATCACACATCAGCTCAGCCAGCCCAACTGACACTGCTTAAAGCCAATTGAAAGGGCAAAGAAATAGCCCAGCCAGCTCTGTGCACATCAATACATGGAGATAGGGCCAAGTTTCTCCAAAATGGAGACAGCTGCTCTTCTTTTTTTTTTTTTTTGTCTTTTTCCTTTTTATCGGTACGGGGGATCGAACTCATGACTGCCTGCTTGCAAGGCAGGCACTTATGCCACTGAGCTAAATCCCCAGACCCCAGCTGCTCTTCTTTAAGGAGTCAAGGAGAGCTGTCTGGGGTGGTTCCTGAGTGGCTGCAAAAGAGGCCAGAAGCAAGCAGGTGGCATCGGAGTCCTCCGCTCTGGAGATTTTCCAGCACAAATCCAGAGTCCTCTCAAGGGCTGTGCAGATGGGGAGCAAGGCCAGCTGACCTTGCAGACAGGTGCTGTGCTAGGCATGGTGGCACACACAGCTGCCAGAGCACAGGCATCAGGCCAGGGGGAGCTGCAGGGGAGAGGCCAGACACCTCCTTGGCATCCTTGGTGCTGTCAGACTGTGCATCTACAGTGCTTTGTGCCAGTCTCTGGCTGTTCCTGGTAGGACAATGCAGGTGACAGTGCCTACCATTAAGAGATTGGCAGCTCACTGGGCCAGCAGCCTGAGGTGAGCAGCCTGCTCTTCAGAACATGGTGTTTACTGGGCAAGGTGTGCTGGCCTGCAGGTGCCACCTGCTCTCTAGGGTGCCAAGCCACATAAGCTTGCCACAAAGACGGGGAGACGCACACATCTGTGAGGGGCTCTAGGGTGCACCCAGAACCCCTGGGCAAGTAGGCTTGCTGGAACAGGTGCTGTCCATTGAGGGCCCTGGGGAATGGGGCCAGCACCACTGGCTGGGAAGCTCCTCTGACTGGTCAGGCAGGGAACCAGGAGCTGCTGCTGGGCTGGGACCCATCCCTGCTCTGAGGCGAAGCTCAGAAGCAGCAGGTGGCATGCATTGACTTAGACCCCCTGCCCCGCAACCGTCTGTCCAGAGGAGCAGTGGCTATCGTGGGGGCTGGACACAGGCTGCTGTGCTCACTCTCAGGAAACCACTGGTTTACATATCTGTAGCACAAACACTGGCTGCCTGTTTCCACGATGGTACTGAGGACATGAAGATGACATGTCCTCTCTTGCGGGGCCCAAGTCACATAGTAAGCATGGCTACACTGGTGGTCCTGCACTGGACTGGTCCCCTCTGGCCATGATGCGGTTCCCTTGCTCTGAAGGAGAAGGCAAGTTGTGGAAGGGGCTCAGTGCAGGAATACTGGCCTGACATGCAGAACACTGGGTCCCCAGCAGCACAGAATATTTTTTAAAAGGAAGAGAATGGTTGTCTTTGATCAATTTATTCAGTTAGCCAGGGATGGGACAGAGAACTGCAGGCTACCTGGGCAGAAAAACACGGGTGGCACCACAGTGTCACCAGGACGCAGAGGGTCAGCATCAAGGTTACCAGCCAAGCACAAGGCATCACTGCACAGCCCAGACACTGACTTCACACCGTGCCTGCTCTTTGGCCGGATCTTCTAGCTGCCTGGGTTCCCTCCAATCAGCCCCTGCCTGCCCTTCCCTTCCCGCATGTCTGTGGGTTCAGAAGTGCTCCACACACACAGCTTTTCCCTCACTAGCACCCCACTTACCCTGTGCCTGAGTCCCCAAGGGGATTCCTGGCCCTTTGGTGACACCTTAACCTCGAACCCTCAGCTGCTCCTGCAGGCGCAGGGGGAGTCTTAGCCCCAGCTCATCAGCCTGCCTGGTGTGGCTGGCCCGCCCCGGCCTTTTTCACCAGCATCAGAACCAGTGGGCAGCAGAAGCCCACCTGCCACCTTGCTCAGGACAGGGGCTCATTAGCCAGAACTTCCGTGGAACCCCTGATGCCAGTCTGATGTTGAGTGAGGCCCAGACGTACCACCCAGGCTGACAGCCACATGCCACCCCAACCAATGCCCAGCCCTCGCTCTTCCCACGTGCACTCCCCAGAGCAGCACCCTCCCTGCTGACACTGGCCTTGCCCATCCTGTGCTCCTGCAGCTCCAGTTCACCTTTTATTTCCTGCATCATCATCTAAGGCTGTTTGCTCTGCCAAAGTGGAAATACTGCCAGTGGGTTCCCAACAGTGGCACCCAGCCACCCTGCGTTCAGTGGTGCCCCACTGGCTTCCAGAAAGCAAGGGTCTCAGGACAGCTGGTACCTGGTCCACTCGGCACATGGCCACTGCCCGCTGTGCCCTGGGCAGGTGTTCATCCCAGAGGACCTCACTGCTTTGGGGATCATCCATCACAAGTGCCCGGCCCCCCAAACTGGGAGAAAATGTCTAAACCTGAGGTCTCAGAAGTGAGCTCTGAGGACAGCAGAGTCTAGAAATGTTACCTTAGAATTGTAAGTTGCTTTGGTTAGCATTTAATAAGACTGTGTAAGGCATTCTGGATGCATATAAAGTCTGAACCGCACCTTGAACCTCGAGTACATTCTACCAAACTACAGAAAGCATCAGCGTCTCCAGACGAAGGCCTTGCTCATCTTTATGCCCACAGCAGGGGGAATGCAGGCCTAAGGGACACATGGGGGGGGGCGCAGAGGAGGGGTGCTCCTGCAGGGATAATCACAGGTGGAAAACCGGGTTCACAACAGGTAGGGGAGGAAGCTATGCACCAGGTCTGCACATCCTCTGTCCACTCCCCACGCCCAGGGCCACCGGGCTCTTGGGAAAGCAGTGGCCAGCTCCCCACTGCTGGGTGAGAATCCAAGCAGGCAGGCAGGGTGAGGGGCGCCTCACAGCAGACAGACAGACAGACAGACAGACAGATGGGAACAGCAAGGTGCGGCCCCCAGCCTCTCCTGCCACAGCAGGAGGCGGCTGGAGCAGCATCAAGACAGCAAGAACGGAGGCCTGCGCTAGGCTTTTCAAAGGACAGAATTTATACCAGAGACACACTTCTCCTGGCCGCAGCTCAGTCTGTCGCCGACCTTATATTTTCCACATAGGATAAGTACTCTGCGATAATAATCTCCTCGTCCTCCAGTGTGGAGTCCAGGTAGTCTTCCTCATGCTCAGGGATGTCCTCTAGGATCTCATTGACAGCCTCTGTGTCCATGTCCTCGTCGGTGGAGGCGCTGGAGGTTCCTACGGGAACACAGGAGTGAGTAGGAGACCAAAGACCATGGTTCCGGGAGGTGGCAGTGTCCTGTCAGCGCCAGCCCACAGACTACCTGCGGAGTCTGAGGGCGACGTGGACGGCGTGGAGGAGACGTCTTCCTCTGGCAGCTGCAGGTCGGGGGGAAGGCTCCCGCCGTGGTGGGCCAGTGTCTGTGCCGCCAGCTGGACATTGCCCCTGAACACTCTCAGCGCGGCCTCCGCCACTGCTGCGTCAAAGCCCATGTACACCAGCTAGGGCAAAGCACAGGGGACACTCGGCTTCCAGGCTGCACCAACCATACACATGTCATTGCAGTGTCTCCTTGCGACTCCAGCATGCACACCACTGCCCCTCCTGACACATCACTCTCAGCCTCGCATGCATGAGGCCTCTGGGAAGGCTGTGTGAGGGCATCGTGGAATGGTAGCTTGGGCTGAGTACATCACGCAAACCCCATCAGGAGCCCTGGAGTGCAGCAGCCCCCAGGTGCTAACAGTGGGGGTGGTGGGAGCCACCACTGGGCACAGGACCACCAGGTTCCCCTACAGAGACGAAACCCTATGGAGACGGCTGGGGCTGATGGAAAAGCTGCTCTCTCTTGCCAGGCACCCTAAGGTAATGCGCCTGGTCGTAGAGCAGACCCGCCTGGTCCCTGCCACCAGGGCTCCCAGCCTGGACAGGAGGCTGCACTCACCTGGTCAATGCCCTTCTGGGAAGGACTCTCATGGGGGCTGCTGGCGTCAGGAGCCGAGTCGTTCAGCCACCACATATGAGGGTTACCGAGCAGGATCTGCAATTGTGGGACCCATTACTCCTCACTACTGCCCCCGGCCCCAGCTGGGCCACTCAGAGGGAAGGAAGTCAAGTGCAGGGCAGAGGGGTGCATGCAGAGCTGATGAGGCAGGGAGACAACCCCCGACCTGGCCAGGCTGTGTTCACAGAACACTGGGGCCACAGGTCATGGTGGAGCCAAAGGGGAAGCAGGCGAACAAGCAGCCAGACGAAAGGGATGGAGCCACATGGGGCACAAAGCAGAGCCTCAGAGGACACAGTGACATCCCTTCAGGCCCCGCACAGAGAAATGAGTGCTGTGAAGGGCGGTACCAGAAGCAAGCAGGCAGGGCTAGGAGGAGACTCAGGCAGAGCCCAGGGCAGTGTGAGGCTGTGCATCGGGGCTATGGGCAACGGGGCCTTGCCCCGCGGGTGCCAACTGCACTGTGGAGGTGCCTTGCACTGTGGCCTTGAGACCCCAAAGCAAAACTGTACCTCTAGCTCTTGACTTCTTTTCTTTCTTGAGATAGGGTCTTACTACTATATAGTTCAGGCTAGCTCTGAACTCACTATACAGCCCAGGGTGGCCTCAAACCCATGACCCCCTGCCTCAGTCTCCTGAGTGCTGGATTACAGTGCCACACTCAGCTCATTTATCTTAAGCCCCGTGGGTAGTCAGCAATTAGCACTTCCTGCCTCATTTGTGCATTATTGTTTTGTTTTTGTGAGAGGGCTTTGCTATAGTTTGGGCTGGCCTTGAGCTAACTATGTAGCCCAGGCTGGCCTCAAACTCATGATAATCCTCCTGCCTCTGCCTCCCAGCGCTGGGATTACAGCCAATGTCCAGTTTCCCACCCCTTTTATATGTCTCAACACAAAAAGACACATAGCCCCTCAGATAACATAAGATACACAAACACAAAACTACGACCATGGGCCTCTGAGGCACGCGCAGGGACACTGACCAGGGCAGCTCCTACTACCTGCCACTCCGGTGCCCTCCTGGCAGGAGAGCTGAGACCCACACTGTCTGCCCAGCCTCATTTCTGCTCATCCCACCCCATAAGCTCTGCCTGAGCGCCTGCACTGTTGCTCTGCTGTCCAGGAATTGGTCCGGCTCTGCCCTGCCCATACAGCCTTATCCCACACATCCTGTGTCCACAACTCTGTGGGCGCCCAAAGTAGGGGTCTCCATCTCATGCTGCACCAGCCCTGCCAACGATCTACCTGCTCCAGTGGACATGCACCCTGGTAGTCACTACTGTCTCGTGTCTTTAAAAAGCTCCTTTTGCCAACAGCTACTACCAAGCACACAAAGCTAGATATCTGAGGAGAAACCTAGTGCTGAAACTGCACCACTTTAATATTCTCTTGCTTTGAAAAATCACTCCCACTGCCATTAACCCTCTGCTGCAAACCTGAGCCCCACAGGAGGGCCCAGCTACGGCTGCCAGTGTGACTGGAGTCACATCCCCAGCCAGGAGGCCTTGGCCTGAGCTAGAGCCATGGTACTCCTCTCTCTGCCACTCAGCTGGTGGCCTGTGAGCCGTGCACACCGGAACTGGGAAGGAGGGCTGGAAGCACAGGCCGGAGGACACGTCACCTTCAGGGCCTCGTCCAGGTTCCCGCCGGCCTGGTGCAGGGCTTGCCTGGCGGCCCGTGCAGAGTAGCCCATGCCTTTCAGAGAGTTGATGTTTTCCATGCGGCGCCGCTTCTTCTCCTTCTCCTCTCGCCTGATCTGGGCCAGTTCCTTCAGGAGAAAACAGGGCCCACGGGTTAGAGGCTGAGACTTTGCAGCTGGCTTCCAGAGTCACCAGGCAGCGTGAGCAGAGGAAGAGCTGCTCTCCCTACCCTCCAAGCCCTGTGGCAGGAGGGTCCTGGGCACTGCGAGCCTCAGATTGCAGCCAGAGGCAGGCGACCGCCAGGATGAGGTCAGTGAGTGTCCCCGCCTGTGAGGAGCTGCCCTGGCTCATGTGAACCAGCTGATGCCAACAGTGCTGAGTGGTGGCAAACCTGAGGCTGCTTGAGGGCACAGAAGCCAGCAGACCCCACGGCACAGCCACAGCTTCTCCTGAGTGTCTGCCAGGCTGCTGACAGCACTACTCCCCCTTTCTCCCACCTCTGGCCCAGACTGGAGGACTGCGCACTTGTCTTACAAGTGGAAACATCTGCCAGACACACAGCTCAGTGGCACCACACTTGCCTGGCAAGCACAAGATCCTGAGTTCGATTCCTGGTACCAAAAAAGGAAAAAAGTTAAATAGAAACACCCATTAAAATGTCATTTCTAGCTGCTTAAAAAAATGGATTTCCTGGGCATGGTGGTGCACACCTATAATCCCAGCACCTGGGAGGCTGAGACAGGAGGATCACCATGAATTGAGACCAGCCTGGACTACACAATGAATTCAAGTCCAGCCTGAACTGCACAGTGAGACCCTGTCTCAAAAAAAAAAAGAAAAGAAAAAAAAAGGGAAGAAAGAAAAGGGGGAAAAGGGTGGGGTCTTGGGCTGGGGATTATAGCTCAGTGGTAGAGCACCTGCTTTACATGGGGTTTCAGTCCCTAGCACTGAAAAAGAAATTAAATTAAATCCAAACTCCCATGTCTGAAAACCACACTAATGTAATCCAATCTCATCCCTATCCAATGAGGAGACAGAAATTTCCCCAGAAAGGTAACGGACTGGGCCAGGGTTAGGAGGACTCGGAGCAGCAGTAAGCAGGGGACAGCGGCCCACACTGCTGCTTTTGGGGCACCTGGCCCACGCCCCTTTACTTCCTGCCACAGGAAAAGGCCTGGCCTAGCAGATGATCACAGCGGCACCGTGGAAATCCCCACAAGGTGGGCAGGAGGGCTGGATGGGATGTGACAGGCAAAGGCCTCTGCAGCCCATCCCAGTTCCAAATGCAATGATGAGCTGCGGAGCCCGCAGGCACCTCCTCTCCATTTCTGCCTGAGCCTGCTGTGGGACCAGTGCTCCAAGCCTGTGCTGCTCTCGCTCTTCTCCCAGGGAGCCCATTCACTTCCGGCCCTGCCAACCCCAGCTGTGGTCAACTCTGCACAACACCCACATCTCACAGCCCAGCAAGAGGACTCTGCTTGGCCTGTCCCACGTCCCCTCGCAGCTCCTGCCATTTCTACTCCAGACAGAGGCCCCAAGCACTGCCCAACGCAGACCAGCACCTGATGGGAGCTACGGACACCTTCGTCCTTCACATCGGTAAGTTAACAGAAAGGTGACCCAAGCAGTGCTCACAGCAGCCGCTTTTCCAATGCTGCTGCATTAGAACCCAGACCTCCCAAGTCCCTGCTTGTCTCGCTGACATCTGCAGTAAGACCTGGGGGCCAGGCCTGGTGGACAGGCAGGGCAGCCAGAGCTGCAGGAGAAGACGCCCGCAGAGCCCCTTGGCTCCTGCCCAGCCACTGCAGATCCTGGCCTACAAGGACTAGGCCAGCAAAAGACCTTCCTGCCCAAGGCTGCTTTCCTCAGCAAAATAGGAAAGAGGACACACGAGAGGATTCTAGAGAGTCCTCTGGTTGGAATTCACAGCTCGGAAATACCTGAGAATCTGTGCTGGAGAGGAGAAAAGCAGCTCATGGATACCACCCCACCATTAGCTCTGTTTGGGTCTCAGGTCCTTCGCAGGACAGCTAACACACTGGGTGTAAGACTCCTCCCAGCTCCACAATCCTGAAGCTTCCTCTAATGCACTGGTGTGACATAATTGTGTTTTTCACCTGTGCTTTCCTGACACAATCCTCCTTGTTTCTACGGTTCAACTGTTCCTAGGTGAGAATGCATGCCCAGTTCACTTCCATGCAGTGTCCCCGTGACACAACACAGCTCCCTCCCTCCAGAATGGTTTCTGGGAATACAGAACGCAGGGTCAAGGGAGAGGGAGAGCGAGAATGAGGAGACTGCGAACACAGCCTCCGCCAAGCAGGAAGCTGTGCTCCCTGCACACTGATCTCCTTCCTTACTGACCTGGAGGAACAGTGCCTCGTCATGACCACCTCTAATGGGACTCTCTTCCGTGTCCTTCCACACCCAGGGAGCTGGGCCCTTGGAAGGTGAGTGTGCCGCCCCACCCATCCCTCCCGTGGCCTCAGAGGCACAGGCGGGCCGTGGGAGCTACCTCTCTGCGGTTGGAGATGTGGATTGCTGCATGATCCACGTTGCCGTCACAGGCCCGCAGGGCCAGCCGGGCTTCCTGGGGTGTGAACCCCAGCTGCATGAGGCTGTGCACTTTTGAGGGGTCAATATGCAGCTCCTTGAAAAGCAGCCGTGCCTACAGACAAGGAGAAAGTAGGAATTGGGTAGCTGGAACAATGCTAGAACAAACAAAGTGGAAGCCTAAAAGAATTTGAGTGTACGCAGTGTATGACTGCATGTCAGATTTTAGAGGAGAAACTCCACCTCTAACCTACCTACTATCACTTAGTATGAACAGGAACTGCCCGGTTTATGCCTACAGTTTATCCACAATGCACCCTGAGCAAACAGGCTGGGAGCTGCAGATGTGGTGGATCCATGACCCCCTCTGGCTGGTAAAATTCCCTCGAGCCAAGGTGCACAGCTGAGGGCAGGGGCACTTCCAGTGCCCCCCGCACCATTCTGCTGGTGGCAGAGGCACTGACAAGCAGGTCGCCCATGGGAGCTGCTTCTCTGGCCTGGACTGTCACCTCTAGGCAACATGACAGGACAGAAACTGCTGTCCAATTAAAGTCACTGTGTTTTTCAAGTGTTCTCATCACAGCACCTGCTTGGGCCTCAAGAAATACAAGTGTGCTCATGGTATCCAAGAGGGAGACATGGGAAAGAGGCAGGTTCTCATCCATAAGACACCAACCGCTGACCTCATACAGCACTTGAAAATGAAAAGAAGAAACAAAATGACAAAGGTCACTATACATTCTCCTTACCTTATCAAGATACTCACGGGCCTCTTCTCCGTTTCCGCTGTGATAGTTTCGGATCCCCTGAAGCAAGTAAAGCCTTAAAAACAACACCTTCTCCTTCCCACAGTTTCCCTAAAGTTATGGGGGAAAGGATAAAACTGTCTTACTTCTCACTGCAGTGCGTAACCCTCGCATCCTCCATCCCCAAAGGGGCAGATGGCACCGCAGACCGCATGTGACATTACTACTGCTGATCGAAAAGGGGAAGCCCCTAAGCACACAGGAGGGAGACAGGGCTGGCACACTCAGCGTTTCCAGGCTACCAGGAAGAACACACAAGTGCACACCAGGCAGGAGACATCCCACAGTGGAAGAACCTGAGGACTGTGTGTGATTCAAGCGAGCTGCCGGCCTTCAGGCTCCTGCGCTCTGCATCTGTGCCCTGCAGATATGACTGAATGCAAGTAGTCCGGCTGTCTCCTGTCCAAGGAGACTGAAGTTGGGGTCTAGACTAGAAAACTGTGCTCCTCGGCAGCCCCACTGAGTGCTTTGTCTGGGTGGTAAAGGGACTGGGTAGCTGGAACAATGCTAGAGTGTCACAAGTGGAAGCCTAAAAGAATTTGAGTGTGAGAGAGAACCCTGCATGCTACCAGCAGAATAAAGTCACCTCTGCAGCACACTAGATACATTAATGGAGATCAACACAAGGATTAGAAACAGGCCTAATGATACCCAGGTTATGGTAACATACTTTTATGTGGACCAGCCGCTGATGATTTTCTCCGTAACAATTTTTCAAGCATTTCTGGGCCAAGCCAAGCTTTTTTTCTGCATCATCAAGGCACTCTAGTTGCTCCAGGCGGAAGTAGCACCACACAATGTCCAGCTGGAGCACGGCATAGTTATCCACAGTATCCAGGAGCTCTCGGCCACACTCACTGCAAGGACAGGAGACCACAACACTGCTGAACCACCTTAGACCTTATTAAAGTGAATTCCAGGAAATCTTTCCCAGTTCCTGGCGTATTTTCAAAGACTGTTGGAAAACAGAGATCCAATGTTTATGACAGGAGCTGATTTATACAATGAATGTTTCCAGGATACACACATGTGTGTACACATAAGCACACATAAGTACCGCTTTCTAGGCCTAAAGTGCCTAGCAAAAGGCAGAATCCAGGGCTGTTATGTCAGCACCCCCTGCACACATGGAGACAAAGCTTTAACCCAGTGTCCTGCACCTCTGACCACAGGTCAGCCTCGCCTACACACAAGGATTCCCAATCTATCTGCTCCCTCCTCTTTTCTTCTGGAAATACTGATGCAGGGAACCCTCTCAACCCACGGATGGCGGGATGGTGGGTCTTGAGGTAGTGGATGTTTTACCATATTTTGACCTGCCCAGGTGACTAACATGTAGGAACTGTTCAAAGCCATCCCAATGACCACATCCTGGAGTGCCTCAGCTGCTGACACTGCTGGAAAACCCACATATGGGCTGGGAGGATGCACAACTGGAAAACACCCAGTCCTGATATCTAGTTGCCTCCTGAAGCACCACATGCAGCCTGAAGGGTCCTCTGCAGCTGGACCACTGGACTGAGCCCAAAAGAGAAAGACCAGACGATAAGCAGAAGAAAACAGGAGAAGACAGCCACCAAGGTCACCTCTTTGGACTCTAAGTTGTGATTATGCTAACACTCCTGATAGAAATCTAGGTCTCAATTCTTCCCCTGAAACCATGCCATAACAAGTGACAAAAGTTTTCTCTGTTTTCATCAGTATTCTACTAAAACAAGGCTGTTCAACATCCTGTACTGCGTGTCAAGGTATGCTCTGCAAGGAGAAAACTAAATGGAATCTCATTTGTCATTTATCATTTAATGCAAATGTCAGTGCCTGCCTGGCAAGCGCAAGGCCCTGAGTTGATTCCAGGTACCAAAATAAAAACAAAAAAACCACAAAAGCCCACACAGTGGTCTCCTGAGGAGAGCCTGGATATAGTCCAACCAAGTTGGAGCAATAAAGACACAAGAACAGTGACTTGATATTTATTTACTGCTTTTGCTTTTAACTTTCTATATGTGACTATTTGGTAACACGTACACCGTATTTTGCATGCACTCACACACACACACACACAGGTGCCAGGCTGGGTGAAGGACAGGTCCTGCAATCTGCCGCTCAGCCTGAGAATCCAATTTTGAGAGAAGGGAAGGGTTCCGTGGCTGTGGTCTGAGCTCACACTCCAGGGGAACAGTTCCTGATCTGTTTATAAGACGTCCAGGCTTCTGTCTATAACATGTCTATGACATCTGTCTATAACACGTCCAGGCTTCTGTCTATAACACGTCCAGGCTTCCATCTATAACATGTCTATAACATCTATCTATAAGACGTCCAGGCTTCTAACATGTCTATGACATCTGTCTGTAACACATCCACGCTGCTGTGGTAGAAAAGGTCCTGTCATTCATGGGAACATGATGGACATTTTCCGCATTTTTCAATTTCTCACATATGTGAATGGGTTATTTCAATAAACATAAAGAATAAGAACAAAAATGGTCTCACTTTAGTTAAAAATAAAATCAACACATGCTGCAGTGTGACTCAAAATTGAGTGTGTATGTAGCAAAAAACCCCAAAACACATCAACCCCAAACACATGTCTCCTATTAGAAGGGTACATTTTATTCCATGAGTTTCAAGAAATCTACACCTGGAAAACCAAGCATGGTGGCTCACGCCTATAATCCCAACACTCAAGAGGCTGAGTCAGGAGGTCTGTTGCAAATTCGAGACCAGCCTTGGTTTCAAAGTGAACTGTATAGTGAGAGCTTGTCTCAAAAAAGACAAAAAACAAACAAACAAAAAGCTACACCTGGGTATTATAATCTCAAACCTGCTATATTTGAACCTGATTTGAACCTGATCTGTTGGAAAAAAAAAATCAAGGGTTTTAGAGATCTGGTATAAAAATATATTTTAGACTGCATCTTCATTAATGCTATTACTTTGGGTCATAGTTGTAGTAGCTTTAATGTTCAACACAGTCCATGAACTTTCATGTTTTATGAAAGTAAACATAAAATACTTATTAAAATCCGAGTCTGGGCTGGGGATTTAGCTCAGGGGCTCCAACACTTGCCTGGTAAGAATGAGGTCTTGAGTTCAATTCCTAATACCAAAGGAATAAAAAATCTGAGTCTAGCTTTAGAAAAACTAAATGCCATTTGGGCTTAAGTCAGTTATTTAACAGAAATTTGTTGTTTGCCTCACAAGTTTAAATCTTTGTGTAAAATATATAAAGATAATCTCAAGAGGATAAGCTGAGCTTAGGTAACTTTTTCTAGGAAAGGTAAGTTAAAAAGTCACTTTAGTTTTACTGCTGTTTTTTTTGTTGTTATATTTTACGTTTTTCTTTTTCCTTTGCTTGTGTGTTTTGTTTTTTTTTTTGTACCAGGGATACAACTTACAACTTTGTGCTTGTCAGGCAGGCATTAATGCCACTCACCTAAATCCCTGGCCCCTTATTGCTGGTTTTAAAGAACTGGTTTCTCATGTGCCTTGGTCTAGAGTTTTTTGGGGTTTTTTTGGGGGGGAGGGTAGGGGTACTGGGACTCAAACTCAGGACCTAGCACTTGCCAGGCAGGCCCTGTGCCACTTCTCCTGTTTACCATAGCCGGGGTTAAGATTCTTCTAGGATTTGTAGTTCCCATGAAACTCCAGAAAGTTCCAGCCCTCTCTCTGCACCTCCACGTCCCTTTCAGGAATTCCAAGCACACATGTGCTGGGCCTTGGTCTGAAGCTTGGCACCACTGGAAAGTGGTAGGAACTTTTAAGAGGTGGAGCCCAGTTGGAGGGCTTCAATGACGGGGTATACTCTCAAAGGGGACCACTGGGCCACAGTCTTTATCCATCCCTCTCCCTCAGTTTTCCAACCACCACAAGGTAAACAGGCTTCTGCAGCTGTAAGCTTCTGCCACAAAGACCAAAACCCACCAAACTGTGAGGCGAACTAAACCCTTTCCAGCCTGGGAACTCCAGGTGTCGGCCACAGAGACTGAAAGCTGCTGACACATCTACTTAAAAAGATGCTAACAGGGGCTGGAGATTTAGCTCAGCGGCACAAGCGCCTGCCTTGCAAGCAGGCAGTCGTGAGTTCAATCCCTGGTACCAATAAAAAGGAAAAAAGACAAAAAAAAAAGACGCTAACAATGATCGTGTGACTACGGAGCTACTGCTTACTGAACATGCTGATGTACCCTAAAGACGCAGTACTTTTTATTCATGGCTTCTGTGAGATCTGTAAATTATTAAAGGACTATCCAAGTAAAAAGGTTAAGAAGCCAGGCATGGTATCGCACGCCTGTAATCCCAGCACTTGAGGGCTGGGGATTTAGCTCAGTGGCATAATCCCCTGCCTTGCAAGCGCACATCGTGAGAGTTCAATTCCCAGTACCAAAAAAAAAAAAAAATCCCAGCATTTGGTAGGCTGAGCCACAAGGATCACCATGAGTTCGAGATCAGCCTGAGCTACATAAGCTCAAAGCCAGCCTGCATTACATAGTGGGACCCTGTCAAAGGCGGGGGGGGGGGGGGGAGAGGGAGAGATGGAGAGAAAGGATCACACAAATGAATGGAAATCAACCTTTCTTTGATTACTCTCAATATATAGAAATTTAATGTGCTAGTTTATTAGTTTCAATATACATTTGAAATTTTCTGTAACAACAGCAATAGGACTATTAGAGTAACTATGCAGGGAAACAAAAATCACCTAGATTTTAAGAAATGAACTGAAGAGTCTGTACAGAAGAGAATGAAGCCATGCCCTGAAAGGAACAGACAGACAAGAGACCACGAAGGCTCCCAGCCTGGCCCCCCACCGAACACCTGGGATAGTAGCTCCTTTCACTGCCTAAGTTAAAGCTGAGAGTTCTTCACTTAATACCCAGGAGTGTTGGCCAGTGCAAACCATACACACCTGTACTTACCTTCTTGCGGTATAAAGGATTATCTCTGGAATCACCAAAATAGCAGGAAGTTTACACTAATAACTGTTCACTCTGAGCACTTCCAAATGTCAGCTCCAACACTAACTGCACCTGTATCATACTCTCTACGTGTTCCCTCCCAGTAACAGGAACCAAGGAAATGGGAAATCGTGGATTCCTGGCCCAAGAAATCCTGTAAAACATCACTGGGCTCCAGAGTAACAGTCTGCAGAGGCCACCAGCATCAGGTCTAAAGGACATGGGGCCACTCATCAGCCAATGAGGGTAAATTTAAGCCATAAAGTTTGAGACACATTCATGAGACACACTGATGAGTTATTATACTTTTAGTTAAAAAAAGAAAAAAATATTGATTTCCTTTGGGGGATTCATTTAACTTGAAGACAGGAAAGTAAAAAGAAAAAAACTAGTTTTTTTCTGTTTCTTACATAAATTATATCTCAGCATAATCAAAGAGCTGATGAGAAAAAATACTTCTCATCAGAGAACTCCCAACAATAAATGTAGAGGGAATAACAGAATGTCATCTTTATCCAGCCCCTAATCAAATAGTAAATTTGGGGAATGGTCATCAATACCATGTCCAAACTATGAGGTAAAAAGCTGATGGGGACCCTACTGCAGACAGCTCAGGCAGTGGTGTGTCACAAACAAAACAGAGAGACAGAAGACATACCCAATGGTCACTATGGGAAAAAAAAAAATCAAAACTGCCTAAGTTTACAAAATCCTGTGTAGGAAAGGAAAATTAAAAACACAGAGGGTTTCCTCTCCTGTGAGGAGAGAAAATTAAAAACACAGAGGGTGAACGCACTCACAGGTATCTGCATGGTACCTGACCATCGCATCCACCGTCTAGGTGACAACCTGAGGGTAAATGACGAGGGTGCTGTGTGTGACCTGGGTGAACACCAAGGACAAAAGTGCCTACCAGAAGTATCTGTCAGCATCCAAAAGGCACGGCAAGGCTATTCCATATTCTTTTCTTTTCAGGAAAGCTCTGCCCTTCTCATGATATCCCATGGCTAACATGAGGGCCTAGGAAAGAATGTAGACTTTAAAAAACATTTTAAAATACAATGAAACAAATGATTTCAGAAGCATATTCCCTCCAAGCAAAAGCAACCAAGGGTGGAAAAACCCCACAGGATCACAACTCAGTCTAAAAGCCACAATTAAGAAAAATATACTTCAGGGCTGGGGATTTAGCTCAGAGGCTTAAGTGCCTGCTTTCCAAGTGTGTGATCATGAGTTCGATCCCTGGTACCCATAAAAAAGAAAAAGATTAAAAAAAAAAAAAAAGAAAAAGAAAAATATACTTCAAGTTTTATTTCATTTGCATGATGCTGAAGCCCCACTGTCCAGTCAGAGAGCAGTGCCTATCTCTTTGCTGATCAGCATACCTTGGAGACAGCAAACGTCAGCCATTTGTAGGATGCCATTAGACTCATAGAAAGGCAGCCAGTAACTCTCGCAGTCTTTTAGAAAGATCACTCGTTTCACTTTCGCTTCACTTTCCATTCTTCCTTTTTTTTTTTTTTTTTTGGAGAGAGGGTCTTGCTGTTGCCCCAGATGGCCCTGAATCCCTGGACTCCAGGGATGCTCACCTCGGTGCCTGACTGGCTGAGGCTTCAGGTGCCCATCCCTGTAGCTGCTGTCACTTTCTCCTGAAGAATCTCCCAACTACAGTACTTCTGAAGCAACTCCAAAAGCTTTCATGATGTATTACCCTGAGGCCCATATGGTAAGCACAGCCTTGGTGTCCAGGTGACCTGGCAGGTGGTGCTCAGGCCACTGGCACCTCACTCTTGAAGGGAACCATGAGACCCCAGCCCTCCCTTGCCCTCGTCTGCTTCCTGGTTGATAAAGTGTGCAACTCTGCTCTGCTACCTGCTGCCCCATGACTTGCTGCTGCCTGCCCACAGCCTCAAAGATACCGAGCCAACAACCATGGACTGGCACCTCCACAGCTGTAAACCAAAATAAATCTTTCACCTTAGCAAGTTTTGATTTCAGGCATTTTGTTGTAATAACAGGAAAAGTGACTCAAAATGTTTGAAATGTATTAATCTTTTTGCATATGAATTTTTATACAATTGTCTTATAATTTAATAATCTTTCCAGAAAGAATTAGACATCAAGCCGGGCGTGGTGGCTCATGCCTGTAATCCCAGCACCTGGGAGGCTGAGGTGGGAGGATCATTGCAAGTTCGAGACCAGCCAGGGCTACAAAGTGAGCTCAAGGCCAGCCTGAACTGCATAGCAAGACCCCTGTCTCAAAAAAGACAAAAAAAAAAAAAAAAAAAAAAAAAGAAGAAGAATTAGACATCATGCAACATTAAGAGAGCAGCAGATAAATAATCACCAACATTTTAAAAAAGTAAGCTTTAATTCACTGAAAGCTCAAACATTAATTCATATAGTTTTTGAATTAAAACTTATCAGGGCTGGGTTTGCTGGTGCATACCTATAATCCCAGCACTCAGGAGGCAGAGACAGGAAGATCACCCTAAGTTTGAGGCCAGCCTGCATTACACAGTGAGACGCTGTCTCAAAAAAAAAAAAAAACCTCACCCCACTACAAACCATCTTTTTTTTTTTAATATTTCTTAAAACAAGGTCTTGCTGGCCTTGAACTTACTATGTAGCTTAGGCTCGACTCTAAACTGTGGCAATTCTCCTGCCTCAGCTTCCTGAGTGTTGGGGCTTCAGGTGTGCACCATCATGCCCAGCTTCCCAGTTGTCTCTTAAAAACAGAAAATACAGCCAGGTGTGGTGGCCCACACTTGTAATCTCAGAACTCTGAAGGCTGAGGCAGTAGGATCCCAAATTTGAGCCCAGCCTGGACAATTTAGTGAGATAAACAAAAATCTGAAAAGGGCTGGTACGAATGCAGCTCAGTGTGAAGGCCCCAGGTTCAAGTCCTAGTACCAGAAAAATAGCAGTGACCCCTAGTCACTGGAGCTCCTTATTTAGGAAGCAGCTGGGCCCGGCTTAGAGATGGCAGCAACCTGAGGCCATCTCTGGTCCCACCACAGATCAAGGAGGCAGCATGGTGGCCCCAAACTCACCTTCTTCTGTGACGGGGGGATGCGGATGGATCTGCCTGTCTGGTTCGCTATGTCCAGGTAGGGTGTGGTTTCGGGGTCTACCACCATCTCGGCTGCATCAACACCAAAGCAATCCCATTAACTCAGTGCCGACAGCAAGCAGCAGTGACAGCACGCAGACGATTCGTGGGCTCTGCTGCCACTGTACTGCAGCTGAGGTGGGGAGCAGTCCTGGGTGCTGCGTACCTCTCTTGGCCAGGATCTCCAGCCCTTTCTTTGTTCTCTGAATTTGCTTTTCTTTGAGATCAGCCTCATTCTGCTTCTCTTCCTCTTCCTGGGAGGTCTTTCGCACATCCTCTTCGGACTGCTTGAGTTCCAGCACCATCGCCTTCACGTTGTGAGTCACTCCTTGCTCTTGGAGGCTTTTCCCTGTGAACACCAGCATTGCATCTCATCTAAATTACCTGCTAACAGTTCATTCCTCACATGCCCAAGCACTTGCAAGCCACTAAGCCACATCACTGGTAAAGAGGTGCTTGGCCAGGTGTGTGTGGTAGCACACACCTGTGATCCCAGCACTTGGGTGGCTGAGGCAGGAAAATCCCTGTGAGTTCAAGATCAGCCTAAACTACACAATGAGATCCTGTCTCAAAAAACCAAAAACAAAAAGGTTAAAAGCTAATTCTCCATGGGAAAATTAGCTATATACACAAACCTAACAAGAACTACATAAAAGCAAACAATGAAAAAGATAAAACACAGATACAGACAGATTTTAAAAGCATAAAGGTATGTACTATAAATGCAAAACTTTAACACAGTTCTGGAAAATTCTAGCTGGATTTCTTTTAAGGGAATTTGACGATCATCCTAACACTTAAATACAAAAATAAAGACCTACAAATTTTAAGTGAATTGCATATGATAGAACCACAAGGGAGACTCACCTCACCAAGTTTTAAGACGGTAACAAACCCACAGAAAGATGGACACTAAAGTGAGTAGGACAGAAAAGTGCAGAACAGAGTCCAAAGTCAAAAGAAAAAGAGACCTCATCAATAACCAAGCAAAGGGCCAGCTGTTCCCTCAGCAGAAGATACTGGAAGACAGGAAAAGCTGGGCCTTTAGCCTCTAGATAAAAGGAGTCTCTGGACAGATTAGAGCTCTTTGCTACATTAAACCAGGAATATACAAGTAAATGTATTCTTATAATTCTGGCCTTGGGGAAAGAACTCACTTAATAAAATAATACATTTGAGAATGGATTTGATAACATCACAATCAAGACAACACCACACACCACACAGCCAAGAGAAGGAGGCAGAGGGTATCTGCCGCACGAGATATACACAGAAAGGGCTGTCGAGCGCGCTGGAAAGGAAGGTGAATCACCAAGCCCAGAAAAGGTGAACTTGATTTGTGAGGGCTATGGAACCCCCTGGTAACTGAGGAACCCCTGAACCTGTCAGGACTGCTGCAGGAGCTGGCATCTCCCCTGCCTTCCCTTCCAGCCACTAGTGAGCAAGACCCACAGGGACAGGGTCCGAGCCTTCCCACTCCCTTGTGAGGCTTGGTCTGAGGCAGGCTCGTTTCTCACAGCAGCACAGGACACCTCGGGCTGGAGACAGCTGTGCTGCGTGCTGCTCCAGGCAGTGCTGTCCATCAGCAGCCCCAGCCTCTACCCACTTAAGGATGGGGCGCCTCACCCCCACTAGATTCTCACAACCAAAGTATCTCCAGACTGCTAAGCATCCTGGAAGGGCAAAATCACACCCACCATGAACCGAAGCTACGCTGCTCAGCGTGGCCTCTGTCCTTCTTCTATGCCATTAGGAACCCCAACGTTCCAAATGCCCATCCTGGAGCTTTCATATGGGGCTGGGAGGCCACCCTGCTGCCCCCACACCATCCCAGGGAGAGGCCCCCCACCCTGAAATGCCTCTCTTCCTCACCAGCACACAGCAGCCTGGGCATATCTACTGCAAAACTGTCTTCTGTTTCACCTAAATAAGTGAACTGCTACAACAACTGGTTTGGAGTCATAAATATAACAAAGTTAGAAATTTATGGAGAAAGGAAACAGAAAAAAATGCAGTCACTATCTCTGTATTAACTCAATGGAAACTTTCTTAACGTACCTAGTTGAAGCAGCTTCTTATTTATAACAATCTTGATGTAGTTTTCTTGAAATCCAAAGGTTTCGGCTATTCTGTAAAACAATATGAATGAAAACTACAAGAAGACAAATTTGTTAATTATGATCTATTAAAAGGGTTTTGCTGCCTGGCATGATGGCACACGCCTATAATCCCAGCAATGGGAGGCTGAGGCAGGATCACTGAGTTAGAGGACACCCTGGACTCCATAGTGAGTTCAAGTTCAGCCTGAACTGCATAGCAATACCCTCTCAAAAATAAACAAATTAGCTAATTAAAAATACATAAGTAAAAATAAAAGCACACACAAAACAATAAATAAAAATAAAAGCACACTGAGTGGGCAGACATTTCATTCTCACAGGTGCTTATCTGTTTCCTGCTAGATTCTCCATGTGATCTGGTTAAACCACTTGCCCTTTTCTGAGTGAACAAAATGAGTTGCTGATGAAAAAAAAAAAAAAAAAAATCCCAAAAGCCCAAGTAGATGAAACAATCCATCAGGAATTTTGCTTTTGTGACAGGCAGATACTTATTTATTTATCTACAATGGGACAGCTGCTTGAAGTCAGCTGAAACACTTTGCTTAGGAGGGCTGCAAGCTATCAGTACACCAGGGATGGAACTGAAGAGTAGCATGAATCCCAGGAGTGCGCTGTACCCAGCGCCTCTGTGCCAGCCTGCAGCCTCCAGCGCTCCAAAGCCACACCGGGAAGCAAGAGGGCGCTCAGCTCCCACCATGTACGCGGGCACCACGGTCGCCCCTGTTTCTGCATAGGTAGGAGGGACATCTTCTCCTGCTTAGGCAGGGCCTGGGATGGAGTGAGCCCACGGGAAGTGGGCAGGGCACACTCACTTAGACCGAAGGTCTCTGCCGCTGATGTGCAGTCGCGTCTCCAGCACGTTTTTCTTGTCCTATTTAAAAATAAGACAATATAAAACATGTTTGCCAGGCACAGTGACACATGCCTGTAACCCCAGCATCCAGAGGCTGAGGCAGGAGGATCGCTGTGAGTTGAGGCCACAGCCTAGGCTACACAGTGAGCTCAAGCCCAATATGAGCTACATAGTGAGACCCTGCCTCAAAAAAATAATAACAACAATAGTAAAGCATATTAAAACATAACATTTGGCTATCTATGAAGTCTGCAGTGCTGGTGTTAGAGGACGTTAACTTAGGTCTCTGGTTAAATGCAGCCTGCCTGGGGCTGGGGATTTAGCTCAGCGGCATAAGGGCCTGCCTTGCAAGCAGACAGTCATGAGTTCGATCCCCAGTACCGATAAAAAAGAAAAAGAAAAATACAAAAAAAAAAAAAAAGCAGCCTGCCTGGAGAAGCCTGTTGAACACACTCCAGAGCAGGCTGACCTGGAAACCGGAATATCCTTGAGGAGGTGGCAATGGGGCTGGTCACAGAGCCAGCCATCCTTACAATCACACTTCAAAACGCTGTCATTCAGCTCCCCTCCAACACACACCCAGCCCTGCACTCCTGTCCCTCCCATCTTCTCACAGTCCCTGCCCACTATGTTGCATGCTGCAAAGCACCAGGGTTTCACTCTTCTGTGTCGCTGAACAGCTAGCTTCCTATGGGCACACAGATGTAACACCCCTACCTATCCACTTGTCTGCTGGTGGACTTCCAGGCTACTTCTGCTTTGCAGCCCTTATGTAGCACTGCTCAGAATACTCACACTGAAGTTGTTACTTACACACTTCTGTTTCTTCTGAGAGGCACTGCTGAGTGCCCACCACAGTGACATATCTGGATGCAGGCTACTGAGGCCATGGCCGAGATGAGGTAGCCCCACCAAGCCCCTGCCTGAGCATGCGGCTTAACACCTCCAACCTCCAGAGCGCAGGAAAAGGATGAATCCCTTTGTGATGTGTCCTGCTGCAGAGTTCCATAAATGTGGGGGTCCACTTTGATCCCCCAGTATTTCTAACTATTAAACTAGAAAACATAAAACTATGACACATGGCGTGGTGACATCTAGAAGGTCTAAGACAAACACACCTTGGGAATGGGCCAGTGTGAGAGTCCACAACATCAAGTAAACTCACTTCAAGGCATTTTAGCTTTTCATGGAAACTCTATAATTTATTTCACCTGTAATCCCAGCTCTCAGAAGGCTGGTGCAGGAGAACTGCGGCGAGTTCAAAGCCAGCCTGGACTACAAAATGAGTTCAAGGCAAACCTGAATGGCATAGTAAAACCTTGTCTCAAAAAGACCCACCCCCCAAAAAATTATTTCATCACATCATGAAGTATTGGTAAATAGGGGGAAATTACTCACTTTTTTTAGTCTTGAAGGTAAAAACACCTCGATTGTAGCAATTCCAGTTGTTTTGTAATTTTCATTTCCTGTTCCACGCTCAATTGCTTTGCAACGGATTTCTTCTATTATCTTCTCTACTTCATTTTCACAACACCCTAGCTTGTTAGAATATCTACTAGCAAGGTCCTAGGAAGAAGAATCAGAAAACACAGCTCAATATGAGACCAACACCAAAAGAACAAAACAAGAGCCAAACCTAGAAAACGGCACCAAGGAGCCTAAGGCAGTCAGTACTGAAGAGGGGAGAACACTTCTGTACTGGAATCCAGCCGCAGTTTTAGGGTCCAGGAAAAAACTCGAACGCCTACAAACAGACCGTATGAGAGGTTTGATGGATACAGTGAAAGTAACTGGACTATTTTAGCAGGGAAAGAAGGGTAGGTACACTGACTCTTGTGCCCTCAATGCATTAAGGAAGTGTTTTAGGGAACAGTTCACTGTTCAACTCCCCTACAGGGGAAAGAAGGAAAATTGAGACAATATTCTAATTTTTTGAACTTGTGAGAAAAAGATGGATTACACTCTGTCTTCGTTACTTTTTTCTTGTGGCTGAGATAAAATACCTGATACCAAAATTAAGGAAAGAAAGGTTTATTTGGCTCACAGTTTGTACAGGTTTCAGTTTATAATCTGCTGGCTCCAAGACAGGGTGGCACGCCACGGGGCAAGCGTTCATGGCAGCGGAAGACAGCAAAAGCAACAAGAGCAAAAAGGGCGGGCTAGCACGAGAAGGCTCTGTGTCCCTTATGCTGTACGCAGGTCAGCCACACCAGGGTGGGTGCAGCACTCACACCCCCATTCCAGCACTGGGCAATAGGTCAATCACAAACTCTAGGTTCAGTCTCTGGCCAGGGATTTAGCTCAGTGTCGTAAGCACCTGGCTCGCAAGCACAAGGTCATGAGTTCGATCCCCAGTAACGAAAACAAAAAAAACCCCAACTATTTCTATAGATTCAGGCTCCTCCAAAAACCATATCCTCCATGACCACATAATAGGGGAGGGGGGAACGGGGGGAAGGAAATGCGGGGAGCGGGGACATCCAGACACAAACCATAACATACTCAAACAATTTTCTCAATAGAAAACTCTAAGTCACTGGTTGCAAAAAGTATTTGCCAAGGAGAGGTTTAGAATTCAGAAAGAAGGGGCTAGGGATTTAGCTCAGTGGCATAAGTGCCTGCCTGGCAAGCGCGAGGTCATGAGTTCAATCGCTGGTACTGCAAAAAAAAAAAAAAGAATTCAGAAAGAAATTTCAAGGATTTAAGAGCTCTTAAAAAATGATATGAAGGCTGTGGATATGGTTCAGTAGCACAAGTGCCTGCCTGGCAAGTATAAGGTCTTGGGTTTAATTCCTGGCACCAAAAAATTTTTTTAAATGTGAAGGCCATGCATGGTGTACCTGCCTGTAATTCCAGTACTCAGGAGGCAGAGGCAAGAGAGTCATTGTGAATTCAAGCCTGACCTGGGCTACACAGTGAGTTCACTGTGTTTTGAAAAACCAAAACAAGTAAGTAAATTTAAAAAGATAATAAATAACACCCTAATTTTCTGAAAACCCAACTGCCTGCCTAGTGAAGGTGTCTGTTTCCCTCCTGACACCAAGTGGCTATTCTATGGTTCCCTTCATTCCTGACACTAACCGCCCAGAGTTCAGGTTGGGCTTCCTAGGTCTCGGGCTCTGTCCCACAGAAGGCCCTTGCTTTAGGACTAGGTTCCCAGTGTCCAAGGACCAGGTCACCCATACTTCTGCCCCCTGAAGCTCTCTAAGGGCCACCAGGCATCATTAAGATGGAAGATGCTCTTGCCACCCTATCCACTTCAGTAAAGGTTTTAGCTCTGCCAGGAACTGGCTGGTACAACGAAGATCAGATATCTCCCCTATCATTTGCAGCCAAGAGGCACAAAAAGGAAATTCCGAAGTGGGCTGCCAAAAACAAAACAGAACAAGCCAGGCATTGTGGTGCACATCCTTAATCACAGCACTGAGGAGACTGAGGCAGGAGTACTGCCAAGAGCTGGAAGCCAGCCTGGACACCACAGTGAGACCAAGGCCAACTTGAACTACATAATGAGACTCTGTCACAAAACAAAACGAAACGTGGACTTCCCATGGTGCGAATCTAGATAGACATGCCACCCTGCTAAAAGCCCAAAGCCCTGGGAACACAATTGATCTTGGAGTGGAACCTCCAGGCTAGGAACCAAAATATGCCTTTCTCTTTCTAAATGAATTGTGCCAGGTACTTTGTTATAGGGACAGAAAGCTGACTACAACAATGTCTGAGAAATAAGAGTCTCATATTAATAAAGTGTCAGGGACACAGATCAGTGGACAGCCTGCCAAGCACTTATGAGACATTGGTTCCATTCCCAGCCTGATGAAAATACCTGTATCCGTAAACAAAAACAAGTTTGCTGACCACCTGCCCATGGTCAATGCTTTTGGTGATATCGAAGTTTATATGGCTGTGCCTGGCAATTTCTGGTGACTAACAAGCAAGGAGATTTATAATCCTGCTAATTTCTTATGCCTTAAAAGAAAAAAATACCTTTAATGCCAAACCAACGTCTTTATTTTCATCTGTATATGGAGGTTTCCAAAGCTGAATCTTGTCTTCCCTTAAAAACTGGGTCAATTTTGCTTGAAGATATTTCTTTTGTGCCATCCTTGAAAACAAAATTGTATATTAATAAAACCCCAATCATATTTTAAAATATTTTGTACCTTACCTAACACATTGAGGTGCTACAAAGAGTAAGCAGAGCTGCCCTTCACCCACTTAATCTAAATTACTAGTTTTAATTACCTTTATAGGCTTTCCTAAAATATATATGCTTAAATAATACATCATACGTTCACTGATTTACATTCTTTTTAATATAAAATATTTCAAAGTTGCAAGAAGATTTATGCTTTTCTATCTCTTACTCTATCAGTTTGGTTGGTTAGTTGGTTGTTTTTTGAGACAGGGTCTTGCCAAGTAGTTCCAGCTGGACTTGAACTTACTATGCAGCCCATGCTTGCTTCCAACTCTCAGCAGTCCTCCCACCTCAGCTTCCTGACGGCTGGGATTACAGGTATGCACCACCACACCTGCTCTGTTACTTTGTAATCTAAGAGAAATGAATCCCTACAGTAATGAATCTCTTTAAGTAACTCAATATAGAGTTTGTAAATTCACCTATATGTTGGTTAACACACACATACACACCCCACCCAGTAGGTGAACATAAAGAAAACTAGCTTGAACTGTGAATTGGCAATAAAAATACTGTCTAGATTAAAATGTATTAAAAAGCTACGATAGTAGAGAACATGTGGCAGCACAGTAGCCCATCTGCACACACTATTCAGATCCAGCTTTGACTGCTGTCATTTTACAACTGGGAAAACCCAGCCCTAGATTTCTAAAAAGATCTGGCAGAGGTCAGAAAACGAGGGGATGTGCCATAACTTTAAGCACTGAGACTTCTGCCTAGGATCTCTTGCTGCTTGTCTGCCCCATATATGCGATTCTCTCTCCTGGAGCCACAGTGGAGCTGTCCAGGCATTCTGCACTAACACAGCCATCCAAAGGGCTGTGTTAGGGTGCTCAGACATGTGAGGCACCTGGCTGGTACTGTGTGGTGCTTTAGGATCTGCCAAATCGGAGTGAGGATTTAGCTCAGCAGCATAAGCACCTGCCTTGCAAGGAGACGGCCGTGAGTTCGATCCCAGGAACCAATAAAAAAAAAGGATCTGCCAAAACACACAACGAATAGGAAAAGCAAAAAGTTAACAGCTCATGAATGAACAACACAAGTTCTCGAGTGAAAAACATATGGATTGATATAAGTGTGCACAAGTAACGTTTTTCTTATTCTTATCCACGCAAACACAATTCACCTGATTTTTTGCCAGGGATTAGCTCAGCAGGACAGCACCTGGCAAGCTTGAGATCCCGAGTTTGATTCCCAATACTCCCTCCAAAAAAATACAAACCAAGTATAGTGGCTTTATTACAGAAGGTAATTGCAGAGGGCTGGGCCCTCAGGGGAGTCAGCGCAGAAGCTAAGATCATAGTGAAACTGTGCCTGGAGGCCCCTCTGGGGAAGTTTGAAGCCACAATGGCTACATTTACTACTCCCCTAAAGGAGAAACAGAAGCTTGAGATTACTGGTAACACTCTGGAGATTTCCCATTATCTCATTAGGCATGGCCATCCTTCCCAACCACTAAGACTACACTAAAACTAAAACTAAAAGATAAGACTAACACTACAGATTATTGATCAAGGTTAATGATGTTACCAATATGCCCTTTTACCACTGGATCAATATTACCTCAGCGATTATACTTGCAACCTTACTAGCTAATCATAAGTTTGACCCACAGGGTACCTGTCTCATGATTCCTTTGAGAAGTAGGCTTGTTGGCAACCCATTCAGGACCTATTCCTGTCTCTGAGGAACTATTCCTATTCCCCATTTCTTTTCTCCAATAAATGTTCCTACTCTTAACCTCTGGGGTTTCTTAAAATTCATCCTTCAACTTTGGGGAACACGAACTCCGCCTACCTGCTATCTTGCATTTCCACTGTATCACCTTCAGTATCCTACAATCAAGTTTACTTACAAGAAAGTTCTAGGTTATTTTATGAGTTGGCAGTGGGAAATAATCAGAACATGGAAGAGAAGAAGAAGGAATAAACAATGAGGGAGGATGTTGAGCATATTTTGGGTGACCCATGAGAGAATTCTGGATTTCCAGCACTAACAAACCACTTCTCACAGCAAAGCATACCAACACTTTAGGAACATCAACTTTTCAAATATAACTTTACAGACCACTTTATGTACTACTCATAAATCTTTGGAAATTCTAAGTGAAAAATCACGATAAGTGGCCAGTGGAGGGTAGGATTGCTCACAGCACCCAACTATCTGGAAGGCTAAACATGCCGAGACCCTAACTCTAGGCAGCAAAAAATACAGCTACAAAAAAAAAAATACAGCTACAGAAGCTACACCGGTGTAACACACACTGTTTAAAATTTAAACTATGGAGCTGGACGTGGTGGCACCCAACTGTAATGCCCGCACTCGGAGAGACTGAGGCAAGAGGATCGCAGTGAGTTCAACGCAGCCTGGGCTATACAATGAGTTCAAGGCCAGCACGAACGGTGCAGTGAGATCCCGTCTCAAAAAGCCAAAACCAAAACAAAAAAATTAAATTACTGTCTTTCAACCAAAAAACTTCAATTATAGACAACAGAACAAATGATAACTCGTTACCAAGTTTTTAAAAAGTTTAGCCAAACCCAGGTTTCGGTTTTAACCAGCGAACTGTAACTTTCGCCCAAACGTGGTCTTCCCATTTTTCACACCCACTTCTGTAACGAGTGATCGAATTTAGCTTTACCCAGATCGCTGAGGGACACACGCACACACCAAACACCCCCAATATGTTACGTTTTTACTGAAACAGTAATAAAAAGGTCGTGTGTTGTGTGTTAAAACGCGAGCAGGAGGAGAAGGCTGAGGCCAGAGACCAGCTGTCTCCCGTGAACACAGCCCGCTCCGGTTCCCCAGCAGAGGCGGCGCACCCTCGGGACGAGCTAACAAGCCTCGCCCGGCGGGGTCCTGCCAGTCTCCGGCCCACCGCAGACCGGAAGCTGGGCCCTCCCGACACTCCCGCCGTTCGCGCAGGCCCTCACCCGTCGCTCCCTGCCCGGAGAAGACGACAGGACCAGGCGGAGCCTGAATCTGGAGCGCCGCGCCGCCACCCCTCACCTGCGCCACCGCCCCTGCCGCCGCTGCGCCCACGGCGACTGCCTGAGTGCCCGGATGCGGCAGGGCCGTCGTTTGTTTTCATTCCGGGTGATGCCGGCCCCGCCCCCGCTCCCCTCTCCCTCACCGCTCAGAGCAATCCGGAAGGAAGGCTTTGGGCGGGGACAGAGGGGCGGGGTGGGCGGGGCTGGAGCCGAGCGAGGGCTTTCCCACGTGGGCGGGGCTATTGCTGGGTGGGCGGGGCTAAGCCAGAGCAGCATTGGCCCAAGGCGAGGAATTTGAACGGCAGGGAAGAAGAGGGGCCAGGATCAAGGCCCGGGGCGAGGCGACCTGTGGGCGGGGTTATCTACCAGGGTCCGCGCTAAAGTGGAGTGGACTGAGTGAATTAGGCGGGGCGAGATATGGGAAGATAAAATGGAGCTATTTGGAGCATGATAATTTAGGTCTAGTTTGTCAGAGGAAATTGAGGCTAGGGATTTTTTCGGGGAGCGTGCTAGGGTTTGAACCCAGGGCCTCCCACTTGCTAAGCAAGTGCTCTACCATTAAATTACATCCCCTGCACCCCTTCTTAAATTTTATTTTGAAAGTCTCCCTAAATTGCCCAAGACAGTCTCAAACTTGCAGTCCTCCACCCTCCCTCTCTTAACAGCTGAGATAGCAGGCATGTGTCACTTGAGGCTAGCTGTTCCCAGCTCCCATCTGTGCTTTGCAGGACCTGAGCAAGTCGCTAACAGGTAATAGAACCCCATTTCTGAGCCATGTCGTGGCCCTCAGTGAGAAGCACGTACAAAGTGACTGATAGGCGCTACCTCTAAGACCACATCACTTGTGCTGATTGGCCACACTTGTTTTCCTGAGATTGGGAAGCTCTGAGCCTCCAAGCCGACGCATTACTGACATAATGTGTTATACAAGCGCGAGTGGAAAAATTACTCACAATGCCCAGAAACTCCCTGGCGTTCGCTGCATTGAGGGCAGATTGCCAGCAGGAAGTGGTGTCTGATTTGTGCTGGTCTCATTTGCGTTAGTCAGTGAGACATTAGGAAATGTGACAGGGACTAGCTGGCCACCAGGAGAGGAGGAGCCCCGCAGAGACAGCTGAGCTAGGTCAGCCCAGCACTGCCTGTTCTGTGACTCAGGAATCAAGTCAAAAGGTTGTTATTTTAAGCATTAGACTTGGGACTAGTTTGTTATCCAGCTAAATGATACAGCTTTATTTTCAAGGCAGGCCTTAAACTATGGTCAGGCCTTACTTGAAATAATTATCCAGAGGTAACATTATCTATAAATAATCTTTAGCAGTTTAAAAGAAACAAATGTCAAGGTCAGTTTGTTTCTTTGTAACAGAATAAATAAACTTGTATTTGTTGTTTTGTTGTTGTTTTTGGATACAGGCTGGCTTTGAATTTAAAACCATCCTGCAGCTTCAGCCTCCCAAATATTGAGATTACAGGTGTGCACCACCATGCATAACAACAAATTTACTTTATCCAGTAAAACTTGATGCTTTTCCTGAGGATACTATAAAATCTCTTTCTATAGGTCTCACTGTGTGATTTTAAAGTTTTCTCTGTAGTTACATTAGCATATATGTTCAGCCTTTTTTTTTTTTTTTTGGTCTTTTTCTTTTTTATCGGTACCGGGAATCAAACTCACGACCACCTGCTTGCAAGGCAGGTGCTTATGCCACTGAGCTAAATCCCCAGCCCCTATATGTTCAGCTTTTAAATATTTTGTTGAACTATAACTCATATATCTTACAATTTACCAATTTGAATTGTTCAATGAGGTGTTTTTCAGTATGTTTGAAGAGTTGTTTCCATCACCATAGATAATTTTAAATATGTATATTTTTTTTATCGGTACCAGGGATCGAACTACGACCACGTGATTGCAAGGCAGGTGCTTATGCCGCTGAGCTAAATTCCCAGCCCCAATTTTAAATATTTTCATCATCCACAAAAGTACCCTGTACCCATATGCGCTCAATTTTAATTCATCTAAATTCTCAGAATACCCACCCCCACTTACCTTCTCTTCTCCCAGCTCCTGGCAACCAATAATCTACTGCCTGTTTCCAGATTTGCTCCATTTGAACACATCATAAAAATAGAATCACATACAGTATGTGGTTCTTTGTTATGGCTCCTTTCACTGAGCCTAGTGTTTCGAATGTTAATCCCTGTTGTATGATGTATTGGTACTTTATTCCTTTTCATTGCCAATTTGTGAATAGAATCACATAGATGTGCTACCTTTTGTTTATTTATTCATCAGTTCATGAACATTTGGACAGTTTCCACTTTATGGAAATGAATAATGCATCGGTAAACATTAAGGAACAATTTTTGGGTATCAACATGTTTTCAGTTGTCTTGAGTACATGGCTAGAAATGACAGCTGGTGGTTCCTATTGTTACAGACAACTGAATTAATAAGAAATATTATAGACAATCAGACAGGGTAGGTCCCCAAAGGAGACAGAAGCCCAGATACCTGGCAACTGTGGGGGACACACACATCCTGAAGATTGATATTTTCAGTAGGTCTCTATCACCCTGAAAGAGCCAGAAGTCACTATCCCACTCTTTGGGAAGAGTCACTGCTGTTAAGCATGCCCACTTGCTATGTGACTCACTTCCCCATTTGTCCCCAATTTAATCAATTTTACCCTAGCAGTTAATCTTACTGGTTAACCATAGTTCTGTCCCACCTTATGCCCACCTTGCAAGGTCTCAGATTTTCCCCACCTTGGACCCATCTCATCTCATGGTTTTACTCTATAAAAGTCCCAAGAGAAGACAGAGTCTTTGGCAACCCACTCAGGACCCCTTCTGTCTCTCTCTCTCTCTCTCAGAAGAAGCTTTCTTTCTGTCAATAAATACATTCTGCTCTTAACCTCTGTTGCTCCTAAAACTCATTCTTTGGTTTTAAAGAACACAAACTTGTACTGGACATCTAGTAGGTTGGGAGTTTCATTCCCCAATATCATTTGGAGGTTTTCCACCAAGATCACTGGATGGAGGTGAGAGTGCTTTTGTTTTGTAGACTGGACTGGGACTTGTTTAGGTAACACATTTTTATGATTCAAATTTTGCTTTTTCTTTGCCCATTGCTTATAATTGCCTTGTCTTTTACATACTTTTGTTAAAATGATGATATGTCTAAGTTAAAACATGGGAAGGTTATAAGGTTATGATTTTTTTTTTTTTTTTTTTTTTTTTTGTGGTACTGGGGATTGAGCTCATGGCCTCACACTTGCCAGGCAGGTACTTATGCCACTGAGCTAAATCTCCGACCCAAGGTTATGATATTTCTTTAATGGGACATTTTTATTATTTTGTTCTTGTACATGTTGCATTTAAATCAGTTGCTAAATGTAGTGGTACTCCTTGCTTGACTGTATTTGCACAATAGCACCGGAGAAAACAATATTAGAATGCCTCAGCAGACTTTAATAAAAACTTCTGTAAAAAGATTCTTCTTAAATGAAATCTAGCTCAGGCTTTAAAAATATGCATGCCTAAAATAAAACCTGAGATTCCTTCGACCATTTAAAAAGCACTAGGCTGGTGACCATTCTTTAAGCCTTGGAGAACAGGTTTCACTGAGACTGGCTGTGATCCTTTTGAGAGGAAATGTCAACCCTCTTCTGCTTCAGTTTCGTTTCTTTATTTCTACTCATTTCCCCACTTTGTACTTTCCTTACAGAGGCATTGTGAAATTAGAAAAATTCTAGATTGTTCCAACCTTTTCCTCCTGTTAAGCCCATAAAAAATGAGCATTTACTAATGCTGAAGATAAGGAAATCATCTTAGATGAGGGACACATACCCCCATCCCTCGGTCAGATGAGACATCAGAATTTTGCTTACCCAGGAGAACACACATAAAAGCCATTTCCTGGCTTAATGTTATGGGCAACAGTCTCCTCTGGAGATTGAACCTAAGACACAGTGGAAAGAACCAACTGGGTGAAACCACAAGGAGCTATTTCCCAAAGCAGCACACTTAAGGCACCTAAACACATTTAGACTAAGGAGGCTCTCCAACCTTTCAAGTTGTAGACTTTAGAATCTTTATTGTAAATTTGTAGAGCACTAGGTAATGATCTTGCTCAGGCTTTTAACTATCCCTTATGTCATGATGTATAACTTTGTGATAAGTCATGGGATTGGGGAGATTTTGTTCCTTTATCAAAGTTGTTTAGACAGTTCTGAGTCTTTTCTATTTTTACAGAAATGTAAGAATCAAAATGTTAATCTTTATGAAAAATGATGTTGCCAGTTCGATAAAGGATTGTGTTTTTTGTCTTTTTCTTTTTTTTTCTTTTTTGTCTTTTTGTTTGTTTTTATCGGTACCAGGGATCGAACTCAGGACTGCCTGCTTCCAAGGCAGGCACTTATGCCGCTGAGCTAAATCCCCAGCCCCCAAGGATTGTGTTTTTTATCTTTATTATTTTCTTCTATTTGTTTTTTGTTTTTAATTTCTGAAAGAATGATATGAGGATATTTCATAACTTTCTTCTTTTCTAATAAATGTACTTAGTGTTAAAAAAATTTAAAATTTTTTTGATTAAAAAAAAACCTATCCCTTATGGAACTTTGGCAGGCAGTGCTTACTCTGCCAGCTAATCACTCCTGTAGCAACTGTCATTCTTAAAAAGCAGAGGACAGATTTCCTCAGCTTCATTCAGTGAATCCCCATCAAAGCCAGTGGCCAGTGGAATCAGTGGAATGTTGACCAGACAGACAGCTGGACTCCTTTCTGAAGACTGACTTCTGGTTGTGCTGGCCAATACAAACGGAAAACAACAGGGGTCATGGCCAGGATACCCAAGCTTTCCTCAGTGGGCACTGGCCCCTCAATTGCAGATAAATCTCCGCTCACCTATCTACTTATATCTCTCTGCTAGCAAACTAAAGATATCCCCTAAACTTTTCAGGCAGAAAATTCGGGTGAGAGGGACCGGGGATTTAGCTCAGTGGTGTAAGAGCCAACTTGGCAAGTGCAAAGTCATGAGTTAGATCCCCAGTACCAAAACAACAACAAAACAAAAAAGAAATTAGGTTGAGGCAGCATGCAACAGTTGTTCACATTTCA